TTGGATGTCTAAACATTATTGTTGTTGGCTATTAATCATGTATTTAATTTCTTACTTTTTGTTTGTTTTTTTTTTTTTTTTTTTTTTTGTTTTTTTTTTGTTTTTTTTTTTTTTGTTAATTTATTAATAACACAAAAAAGCTTTACACTGAACTTTAATACTTTTACGTATGTGTCGCAATGTATGTATTTTATTTTGTTTTTTTTTTCTCCATTTATGTGGGTACTTTTGCATTTTATTTTGTTTTTGTTTTTGTTTTTGCAGAGGTGGAAAAGGTGGATAAGGTGGCTATACGGGCATGCAATTGCTTTTTTATTGTAATTAAATGAATTATCTGTATTGTAATTTTTGTTTTTTTTTTTGTTTAATTATAATGTCTAATAATATTCAGGTAAAATCATTAATAAATACAGGTTATTACATACATACTTGTGTTTTCGCAATGCATACTGCATACAGACTGCATGATTTATATATTTTGTTTGTAAGTATGTAAGTACGTACGTGCCCACTTAGTTTTATTATAATCATTGTTTTATAAATGATTTATTGACATGGTCAATAGCGCTACCCATCCATTCTCTTAACTACTCTAAACGTTAGACCTCTTAATCTGTTTATTTAAATTTTCATTAGTTTTTCTTTATCATCAATTTATTTTTTTTTTAGTTTTTTTTCACTTTTCTATTAAAATGATTGAGGGTTGATAATGACGTGCATACTTATTAGTAATTTAATATTTAATAGGATTTGCTTTTTTCAAAAAATAAATAATATTTCCTTTTTTTGCTTTAATTACATTCAATGGAGATTACAGTTAAAAAATATAAATAATAAATTCAATGATTAGTACTTAAATTTCCAACAAAATTATTTCCTACTTTTACAAAAAAAAAATATTTCACAGCTGGTTTTAAATTTCGTTCTAAAATAATAAAATAACAAAATAGCAAGTGAATTTGTTAATGAACTTTTACAGCAAATTAACAAAAAAAACTTTCAGCTCCAACATACAAGTCGAGTACGACTTTGGATCAGTTGGTTAATGAACACTGACTCTGAGCTTCAAATTTGGCAGCGCACGAGTTAAATCCTTAGTACTTGCAGTTTCATAAAAAATATATTTATGAATAATTAAATATAATTAATAGTGCTAAGATCACTGCTGATAAGTATTTGACAATACTCGAAACAGCTGTGTGGTCAGTCAAAAATTCAATTAATTGAAATAATATAAAAAGAGTTTTTGTTGTTGTAGTTCACTACTTTTCAAAATTTCTCTAACAAAATGTAATACATAGTTCCTATAAAGTTAAATAATTACTATCGTCATAATATTAACTGCCCTTCAATTAGGTTAGGTTAGGTTATACTGACGATCCTAAGGATATCCACTTAGGCCTATAGATTCATTGTGCTATCGTATTATTGAAAACCCAAGGTTTTAAACCAACTAGAACCTTTGACAAAGCTTATGATGCTATCCAAAGGGAGGTCTTAAAGTCCCTAAAGTATTCAGGCGGCGCCTCGCATGTGCCGGACAGAAACAAAGCAGGTGTGAGACACTTTCATCGTCCTCACCACCAATCACCTTTCAACAGGTATAGTTGAAAGGGATATTTAGTCGCCTAGCATGGTTACCTAGAATACAATGACTTATAAGTAAATCTACTGCAAGACTGATATCTCTATGAGGCATCTCAATGAGAGAGTTTGTTTTTCTTTTATTGGTGTATGGCCAAATTCTATACAGATGTCTGCAAATCGTAAAGTCTTCCCATCTTTTTTTACAAATGTTGGCACAGGAAGAACTTAGTACCATTTTGCATGATGTCAACGATATGCCCAGTTTAAGTGTTCCAAGTGGTTTCTTAAAACATTCAAAATTACAATTTAAAAAAAAAATATTGAAAACATCCTCCTCTGCAACATTTACTAAAATAATTGAATTAGAAAATGTTCTCATTAAGTAAAATTAGAACTTTCTTGTTGATTTTCACTAATCCATTTGCAATTGAAAATTTAGTATTTTATATTATCCATTTAAATGAATTTTATACATACAAACAAAATTTTATAGCATATAAAACAACATCATTGTTATTGTAAAATATTAGATATATTAGGTATATACTTTTAACATGAATGCTCTAAGTTATTCTTAAGCAACCAGAAGTTGTTCTATTGGAGCATTCACATCAGAAGAATACATCTATTATTAAGAAAATCATCAGACAAAACACGAAAAGAACACAACTAACACCGAGCCTAACAACTAAAGTCTCGTACTGCTTAAAAATTTCTGTAGAAAACCTAATAAATTTATATACAATAGTCGAACCATTATAATGGATTGACAGACAAACATAAATTTTGGGGAAATAAAAAATTACTTATGTGTATGATTTGAAGTTGAAGTCGAAATACTACAAATTGGAGCAAATTTGGTGCATTCATAGCTCACATATTATATTGTAATATTATGAGATGAAATATGGTAAACTTACATATATCAAATATTGTTGAATTAATTTTTACAGATCTCATATATCTATCAAGATCTTGTATTATCACAATGGATGTAAACAAAATATTTATTTTATCTATTAATAAACTATTTGTTTTTTTTTTGTAGGCACGCACCCCTATTAATTAGAGATATTATAATACCAGAAGTTAGAATATAATACACCTATATTCTTAATTATTTAATTATTTCTTGAGCATTGTTTCCCGAAAACGCTGATTTCAGTAGACGGATGGACTTTAGTAGAGTCAGCTATTCTGAACATTGATATATTTTTGTAATATACTATATGTTGATATTATTTACTTTTTGAAACTTTAAAACTTTTATTTTAAAATTTCTTTTTTAAATGCAGTAAATTGTATGCAGGTTTTGTACATCTATGTATATAGTATTTTGGAACAATATATTTCACACCTCAGCTTCAACTTGTCCAACTGTGATGTGACATCATACAATTTATCATACTCTCCAAGAGTACTAAACTGCCTATAAAATCTATTATGCTATACAAATTCACTAATTCAGATGAATTGAATTAATTATATGATTTAAACAATAGATTATGATCATTTTTTACTAGTAATATGAAAGTCCTTGCTCATAATACTTTAGATAAATCAATTCGTTTAATAAAATCTGGTATTTACATAGATGATACTAAATTCCTATTAATTAGCAAGTGGCAGATTATTTAATTACACATTGCAAATATAGTGATTGAAATCCCAAAAAAAGGGTTTTTAACTTCTACAAATATTTAAATAAATATATATATATAGGTATATCTTATATATATAATTCTTCTGTACGTGTGTTGACAGTGAACTCCTCCTAAACGGCTGAACCGATTTTGATGAAATTTTTTGTGGGTGTTCAAGTGGATTCAAGGAAGGTTTAGATTCACAATTTGGCCCACTGGATAATGTCTTTTTAATTAATTTTTTATTTTTTGGCTTCCATACACATTTATATTAGAAATTTAAAATTTATTCATGCTTACTTTGATTTGTTTAAAAAGTTTAAAATTTTTAAAATGAATCATAAAACTGCCGTTGCATTAAATGTCTAATATAAATGTATATGGATACCAAAAAACTGTATAATAATTAAAAAACCGTTATCCAGTGGACCAAATTGTGAATCTAAATTATCGTTGAATTCACTTGAACACACACAAAAAAAAAGAATTATATATATAAAAATATAAATAACGTACAAAAAATAATGCCACGTCTTCGTGGACGAGGAGGAAATATTGGTCGACGGAGTCGGAATTCACAATTACTCTAGAACCGTCGGTTAAATAGATCGGCAGAAAACAATGAAAATGTAAAAAACCAGGATACAATCACACGTACTAATGAAAGTCAAGAGCAACGCAACGAACGCCAGGAAAATTAATTGCAAGGGGAAACAAAGTTCGCTGGGTCAGCTAGTATATATATATATATATATATATAGTTGGATTAACTCCGACGCTACAACGACAACTCCAACTACAAAAAACAGATATATATATAGACTGTATTTCTTCATTGGATAATGTCCTATTAGTATAGTTTATCAATATTTACTTTGGAACCTTGAAACTATCCATTACGTGGAAAGGTTCATTGAACTAGCAGGCATTGAACTTGAAATTTCTTTTGTCTACATAAGCAAGTTTATATATTTTCTAAAAACTAAATGATATAACCTTATCTTCGAATTACAATTATTCAAAAAAAAAAAAATTAAGTTCTCAATATTACAAAATTATTACATTATAATATCTGACTATATAACCTATTACATATACCATATTTTAAAATGAAAGTTTTTATATAAAAAAACTAGTATATGTAAAAAAATTATAATTAGACGAAAAAGATAATACTTTACACAAATCAATCTTAATTAACTTATACACCACCACAGAGAAACAGCTAAAATATCTAAAATAAAATCGGTTCTAATGAAATACTGGATGTTAGAACGACATGAAACTGAAACTGCCCTATCAAAACTTATGTATATCGTGTTTACCGATCGAGGAAGATACACAGCAGCATCCAGTTCCAAGCTTAAGCTTGGATGACCCATAATGTTTTTCTTGGCTAACTGAAGAGGATTCGATCTTTCTTTTATTTCACCTATACATCACAAACCAAGTCAAAATCATATTCTATTTGGATCAATATCTAATATTGCAACAACAGTTAGGTTTAGGTTTCTTATTTTAGGCTCACCACACAACAGTTAGGTTAGCTAAACTAACTGACTCTCTATGTCAGTAATAACTCCTTATGTTGCTTATAAAGCGTGTTAATGTAGATTGGAAGCTATGAGGTAACCAATATTTGGTTATGAAAGCATGACAGTGACAATCTCCAGCCGGAATTGGAGAACCTGTATTATTAATATTATTATTATAGACAAAGCATTAATAAACTATTTTATTTAATATTTTATATTTGCCCATTTTTTTCAGGCTCGTATTATTGAAACACACAACTATCCAGTAGAAGAGCACACAGTCCACACACCAGATCACTATATACTCACCATATATCGTATACCATACTCACCGAAGCGGATGGATTCCACAAATAATAGCAGACCAGTTGTATTTTTACAACATGGTATACTCAGTGCATCGGATGACTGGATACTTAATGGTCCCGAAACTTCAATTGCTTTTATGTTTGCAGATGAAGGTAGGTTTCATATGAAAAATTATTTACTTATTTAATACAGATTTAATAAACATTTTGATTATAGGATATGATGTTTGGTTGGGAAATGCCCGTGGTAACTTTTATTCTCGCCAGCATAAGCATTTAGATCCAGCCTCCTCAGACTTTTGGAATTTTAGTTGGCATGAAATAGGTGTTTACGATCTCGCCTCCATGATAGATTATGCTTTAATAGCATCGAATGCTACATCTATGCACTTTGTTGCACATTCTCAAGGCACAACAACATTTTTCGTGCTAATGTCTTCCCAGCCAGCCTACAATGAAAAAATCAAAACCGTACATTTGCTGGCGCCAGTTGCTTTTATGCGGAATCACTCTTTCATGCTATCGAAGCTGGGGCGCATATTCTTGGGTTATCCTTCATTTCTAAGCTGGATATTTAGCGGTATACAAATAGGGCCAAACTCAAGAATACCCAGACTAGTTTGTGAATATGTATGTTCCCCAGATTCGATGCTGAAATTCTTATGCGTTGGAATATTGGATTTCATTGGTGGTTGGGGTACGAAGCATTTGAATCATGTAAGTAGATTAATAAAATATCTTATGAAATATGATGTGATAATATACATTTCTTTCAAAATAGACGCTTCTAACAGATGTTTGTTTAACTCATCCCTCCGGAGCTTCAACAACACAAATTATACATTTCCTACAGTTACACAACTCTGGTGATTTTCGACAATTCGATCATGGCACTGAATTGAACTTGAAGTACTATCAGCAAGAAACACCTCCATCCTATGAAATCCATCAAATAAGGAATTGTGTTAATCTTTATTATAGCGAAAATGACTACATGTCAGCCGTAGGAGACGTGGAACATTTGGCGTCGTTGCTACCATGTGCGGAGCTACATCGTATACCTTACGAAGACTGGAACCACTATGACTTTTTGTGGTCAAATAACGTTAAAGAAGTGATAAATAATAGAATTATTGATAAGATAAGAAGACATGAATTAGAAAATCTGCAAGATTTTTAAAACTGATGGACTTAAAATGTTAGTTTAAGATTTCTATATTAAGCAAATGCTTTATGTATATATACATATATACATAAATGAAGGTGATCTAGTTATATATTAAAACATTAAACAACATTCAAGTATATAAGAAGCTTTACAACACAAATTTTATGCCAAATTTAATTTAAGATAAAACGATACTCATAGGGAAAATGATAATGCGGCAACTGTATAAATACAACGACTCTACACACAATATTACAAAGAGAACCGGACTTCAAGGAATTATTTACATATATTTTGTAATAAATTAATTTTAGGTGTTAAATTGTATATAAATTAATTAGAATGATAAATTATGAATAATAGAAATTATTGTTGAAACCGATGACTTTTATTTTTACAGACATGACTTCCTTATACTAATTTAAATTGTTAATTTTCATTTGTCGATCCAGTAGTTCTACATTCTTGGGACATCATGTTGGATTTGCGAAAAATAAAGCTCTAATGGAAATTATAAGTAGCACTTCATCATTGTTAAAGAAATTATATACAACGAGTTGTCTTGCTAAAAAAAATATGTAAATAGAGGAAGTGATTCAATTAGAAGGGTTCAAACATTAATGAAGAAACAGCAACAAGCATTTTTTAATTAATTTATTGAAATTTAACTGACCATACAACACTGTTTCGTGTATTGTCAAATACTCATCATCAGTGATCTTAGCAACTATTCGAATTTTTATTTAATTAGTTTAGAGTCTGTATACTGTCCCTGTATTATTAAACGTAGCATACTATGCCTTGATGGCATAACACTACGGTGTTTATACAATGGAATTGCCTTGATAATTTCGCCGGTACTAAATGAAGAAATATGTGTTAGACATAACGTCCAACTTGTTGCGATGAGATGACTATCTAAAATCTCTGTTTATATGTGGGTTGTAGCACTCGGCAGTGAATACGGAAACTCCATGCCGAATGTAAACTGAACATTCTTCCCGCGTAAGTTTGGGTACTAACCACAGCCACTAAGACTCCGACTTCAACTGGTCAGCACAGCTGAAGCTGCGTGCCACTGACCCGCATAGTGCCGGATTTACACCTTCGGTCAAGTGGCGCAAGTGCAAACCTCACTCACGTCCATTCACACTTCTAACACAAGTGCCGGCATAGCACCGGGATTTTAGTCACCTCTAACGACCGGCGTGCCTTACCTCGGGAATATTCTAACCCCTTCAATGAATAGGGTTTTATAGTCCTTATGTAATTTGTTGGACTGGAGGTGCTAAGCTTAACACTCGTGCCTGTTAAATTAGAAATGATAACTAATCGTGTTATTCCACAAGTAGCCAAGGCTTACTATCCACTTGACTTGCTTTTTAATAGAGTTAATTTTTTTTCGGGTAGTTTAATATAACAATATAGAGAATCTGTTAAAAGTCTCTTTATAAGGATTTCTAAAGTTTTACATTTGCTGATGCCTTTTTAAGAGAACAATTTCATTTAATTTTAAACTAATCTAATATTTATCCAGCAAGTATAACATAATGAGATATAATATATATGTATCCTATCAGTGAACTAAGAGCTATAGCGCGTGATAGAAATACAAAACAAATATAAAAATATTGCGTTGTGCACAGTGGCTTTCAAAGACTTACAATATGCTTTAAAATTACAGTTTGAGAGCTATACTTGGATTAATGTGTTTAAAATGTTTTTAGTATTAATTTTTTCAAAACAGTTTTAGGTGTGTTGCAGATCAACAGACTTCTTTTGTTCAAAAATGCTTAATGAGTTGTAACCAAATAAACTAGCTAAGGGAGCCAATTGCAATACAATATCATTTTTATTAAGTGCTATTCACATTGGCACATTTGTTTTATTCAAACACTTCTTTTGTTTCTAAAGAAGCAAGTATATTATGAAAAATATTTACAGTTTAAAAGCCACTGGTAGTCACCTTTTTGACATATTATGATAACAAAATCTACATTATAGTTGCAATATTTGAATTTGATTATTATATACAACAACCAAATTTATTTCTATCATTTTTAATAAAAATACTCAGTTTGAACACCCATATTGAAAAATTGTTATAATTTCATTAATAGCAATAAGTAAATGGCTGTTTGAACGGAATATTAAATGTAAAATATATTGAATATCAATAAAGAATTATTTAAATAAACGCTTTAATTTTCAAGTACTATTTGGAAACATGCCGATATAAGCCGTCATTTTTTCTTTCAGAGTTGTAAAAAAACGGCATTAAGTCTTGTTGAAAAAAGTTGTCATCACTTTTAAAATATGTGAAATGCTTATGTGCAATATGTGAAATACTTATTTTTTTGACATATGTTTTTTTGTTGTATTGTATAGAATATAAAATATATGTATTGTAAGCACTAAAAACAATTTAATTTAAATAAAATAAAATAAATATTAGAAGGGCAATGGTTAGCATTTTTATTTTATGTAATTTATTTATTTTATTAATTAATTTATTTATTTATTTAAAATTTTTAGTAAATGAAATGCTTATATGATTTTAACGAATGACGGGAAGTCTGCAACATAGTTCCAATGAACATTTACAATTTGGCTGCACTAAAATTTAAGACGTGAAAATTTTTGCGTATGAAACCTAACTCTGAAGATTTTAAGAGCGTTGTTGTTGTTTCATATATTTTTATTTTTTTGTTACTCTGTGAGATTAAATGACAGCTATAGTTGTAAATTTTATTTAGAAAACTTAATACTAAGTATTTATTTTTTCATTTACAAATAATTTATAATCGAATATTATCGATCGATAAGATAAGCCCAATAAGCCCGCTCAAACAAATTATTATAAATAATTTAATAACTGAATAATATTGAAATTTAACAATTAAAAATAAAAATATGATTAATTAATTCAATTATTCTACAGCTGGTTTATGATTTCGTACTAATATAAACATAGCAAGTGAATTTGTTAATAAAACTTCCACAACCAATTAACAAAACTCTGGAAATATATGCGAACATAAAAGTCAAGTACGCTTTTGGGCATCAAATTTGACACGGCACGAGTTCGATTCCTGATACTTGCAGTCTCAAAAAATTATTTAGGAAATTAAATATAAAAAATGAATCCAAAACCACTATTGGCATTTGACAATACTCGAAACAGTATTTTGTTGTTGTAGTTCACTACTGTTCGAAAAATCTCTTTATCAATAATTTATATCTTGTATAAATAAAATAAATAAAATAAATAAATAATAAACAATTAAATTCTATCTGAATATTTATATAAAAGTTTGAACAAAAACTGATGTTTTTTAAATATTTCTACTAGTTGCTGTTAGCATATCTTGCTGTTTGAGTATTCTAATTTACTTCGAAAATATTTGAGTTGGCAATGCGCTTTTAAGAAAAAACACTCAGTCAATATTGCCCCACAATCGCCTGCGATGCAGTGAGAGAAAAAGTTGTAAGCAAATTATTTTTGCAGATTATTCTAAAATCGTGACATTTGTTACATATATTGCCAGCCATCTTTCATTTATATTATTAATCTAAAGTTGTGCCGATTTTTTCATTATACATTTTTATGTGCATTAAATTAAAATTATTATGCGTGCGTTACGCGTTAATGAATATTTGACAAATTTTTTAAGTGTAGCATTATAAAATCGGAAAATAATATTAATAATTTTTCACAGTGCGTTTTTTTCTGTTTTGTTTCTTTCGTTATCACAAACATTTCAGCACAAATGCGGTGAACTTAAGTAAATAGCAGTTTTGTTGTGAAAAAATAAATGTAAATAATGAAATGCATATCTAAAAATGCATTTAAAAATTTATTAAAATATATAATTATTGCAATTTCGTTGTAAACAATAACGAATTTACTTTGTGAGTTCGAAATGGACTACATATTTACATAAATGTAATTGTTGAATTTCCAACGACAACATAAATGTGAAATCCTTTATAAACGTGAAAATAATAGTATTTAATGTTTAATAAATTAATTTACTAATGTAAGCAATACTTTCTTTTATGTCTTTTTTATCTGTGTTTTTTTTTACTACTTGTTTTTATGTTCGAAACGAAGAAGAAGCAGCAGAGTAAACAATAAAGAAGATCAAGTGTCAGCCGGTGCTTAGATGTTGTACTTATGACAATCAGTCACTTTTTTATTTAATGTTTAAATTGAAATTATATCGAAAAAGGTAATTTGATATGGGTTATGTTTTACTAAAGCAATAATATTGCAATATTGCAATAATATTTAACATATAAACTATAATATATATAAACACAACTTGCAGTGTTTTTGCGTATTTTAATAACTAAAATTCTTTGATTTTCGCTATAATATGAAAAAATCAATTAATTTGAAATTATTTACAGGTACAATGTCCAGTTCAGACGCTGAACTCAACCCAGACTCTGAGATCGATGCTAAGACGCTGACTAAGTCCGCCAAATTATCATCTCAATTAGTGGAAATTACGACAGATGGTGTACCTAAATTGCATTGTCCTGTTTGCAGTAAGGGCTTATCCTCTCTCAATGGTTATGTCAATCATGTAAAAAAACATGAACCACCTGGTGGCTTCAATTGCCGTTACTGTGATGAACGCTTCTGCACAACGGAAGCGTTGAAACAGCATCGCGACGAGAAGCATATTACCATAGGTTGCCGCATATGTGCGGACACAACGTTCTCCAGTGAAAGTGCATATCGGGAACACATTACCAATGTGCATAATGGAATTGATCGTCAAATGTATAAGTGTGACAAATGTGACGCAGAATATAAAACTATCATACCATTTCATCGTCATATGGAAACACAATGTGGTACAATAAGACCACATAAATGTGAGCAGTGTTCGCATTCCTTCATCTCAAAATATAACCTGAAGCAGCATCAGTTGTCACATTCAGGTGAACATAATTTCTGCTGCAGCTATTGTGGCAAGAGTTTCAAACAAAAAGGTGGACTAGTAGAACACGAACGTTCCCATACTGGTGAAAAGCCGTACAAATGTGATGTAAATAAAAATATATATAATCATATACAATATTCGCTCGAAAACGCTTAAGGCCTTGTAGTTCACGCTTTACAAATGTTTTACAAATGTTTTATAAATATGAAGAAAAAAGTGTTTGAGCGATCATTGTATATGTCAATTAACTCTTGGCATTGTAATAGTTGTACACTTTTTAACTTGCAGGTTTGTGGAAAAGCGTTTGCTCATCGTGAAAGCTTGGTTACACATTCCTCCATACATACTGGCGTGCGTTTAGTAGAATGTAAATGTTGTCAAACAAGATTTTCGTGCTACTCAAATTTACTTAAACATCGACGTGCCCGTCCAGAAACATGTGGCTTACCTAAGTATGATTCCGCGAAAAGGCGTGGATACACTCATCGTGTAAGAAGTAAGTGACAATAACAATTAACTGCGCTATGTAGAGTTAAACACTCCCTGCAATGTATAGTAAATTGAGTTTTCAATATAGTTTAAGCTTTATTAGTATAATAGAAACTAAAGTCAAACTTCCATAATTTAAACTACCCTTTTGCCAAAAAAGATCCGACTTATGGAGACTTCAAGTTAAAGAATTTTTTAGTGATTATATTTAATTTGCTATCTAAACCCTGTTGCACTCTAGTTAGTTCGAGTTATAGAAAATTCGAGTTATAGGAGTTTGACTGCATATTGGGACTTTTAGTATTTCAATGTTCGAGCTGCTCAAAAATGTTCGCACACCTTATGATGCTCTAGCAATTGCTGTTATAAAACAAAATTATAATAGAATGGGAGATATAAATGAAGGATATTTTTGTAAGTTCAGGCATTGTCAAAAAAACCCCCCTTTGATTTCTTATTTTGTGATACTCAGTGATACACTTTGTTTGTGCTCAAGTGACATTTCATGTACAAGGCTGTCACTCCAACGTAATCTTACCTACTACATAAAAATGTTTAATAAACTTCTCTCTATTTAAAGTTATAGATTTGATAGAATTTTTTATAAATTTTAAATCAGGAAATCTGTAGCTAAGTGGTAGGAAGAATTTGCCACTACGTTTCTATTCAACATGACAACTTCAACAAAAATCATTTGCGTTACTTTTATGGCTTTTATGGATAGTACATTTAGGCGGTCTCATTTAGGCACGTGTTCATTTATATTATATTGTAAACACTTTGTTGTTATTGTAACCCGCCGGGACCTGCTTGTGGAGTCCCTTTGGGAGGTGTTAAACGGTACTTGGTCGTCGTAGGAGACAAGTGGCTCCGGGACGTAGACCCGACCGTTCTTCGAACCATATTGTAAACATTGTACTTATCGGTTTGTTTTTTCATTTTTTTTACAATTTTACTGTTGACTGACATACTCTCCCAGGTATTGTTTGGTAGACACTGGTCTCTTTAATTTAACTGCATTATAATTTGTTCAATGTCAGTATAAGTTATAAGTCTACACATTCTCTGACTGTTTGGTCTTGGACTGCCGGGGCAACGTTTTGGGTCTGGAACTCCTTTTCCCGTTGAATATCAGAAAGTTCTCAACAATGAACATTTTGTCTTTGCTACGGAAGACTGCATGGCTACTGTTTATTTTTTAAAAAGTAAAATTTGTAAGATCAAACCTTTAAAAGATGACTTTTAAGAATTCCAGTGGTTATAACTGGTTAGAAGATGAGCATATGATGTTTTTACTGACAATAAATTTTAGAATCACATTTGTTATGATTGTGGCACTGAAGTGGAAAAATTAAAAAATCTTTCGTGCACCTGTCCTCACCGACCTGACAGAAGGATTTATCCATGTTTATGGATTTGTCAGGTTGGTCATTTTTTCCAGCATTCTCTGTAAGCTGACCATTGCGGTCCTTTTGGGATTCTTCTGGTGTGCGAACGAACAACACTAATTTATGGTAGCACTGTCTGCCATTATTACAAGTGAGTTTTGATGTAAAGTGCGACTTAATCTAACCTCACCTAACCTAATCTAACTGGCAACAAATGTACTAAGGCACTTTATAGTTCTTGTAATCGTAGCTTCCTTGGGAAATACTGCAGAAATCTAAAGGAGTCTAGTACGTTGTTTTGTTATCTTTCAGTCTTAGTGTCTGTTTACCGTATAATTCTCTGAATTGGTTTAGTGTTGGGATTCAGTAAGCTGTATCAGTGGTATGTTTTATAAAACCGGTACTAGGTACTGCCAAAACTAACGCTTTTAGGCAAAATTTTCAAAGGTTCAGTTTATGGTTCGAGTCAAATTAAAAATGGCGTATTCATATGAAGCCCAAAAAGTCTCTGAAAAAGGCTACCTTTCATTAAATTCATATAAATTTTACGCATTATACATGTTTAAAAATTTTTAATTATTATATATGTTTTAGTTCCACCAAATGCTAATCCAACATCAGAAATTAAAGTTCGTAGTAAAAATAAAATACTGAAACCTGAAGAAAAAGCTAAGAATGATAAAATCGTTACTGACAGACAAACGAAGCATAAAAAGGTATCCACTAAAGGGAGAAAAAACTTGCAAAAAGACCGACATAAAAATTCCAAAGGAGATGTGGATGAAGTGGAGACAACTGCTGTCAGTCTTCGAGGTAGAAAGAGAAAAAAACGCAAAGCAGATACTACTGAAGAAAGCGTCAATGATACTAATTTAGAATCAGAAATAAATAATTCCATATTACAAAGTTCTAGTCTCAAGGAAAACGGTACATCAACGGAAATTACATTAATTGAAGTGAAACCCGTTTGGAACTACAGTGACAGTGAAGACGATTTTGAAATGTCTAATACGATATTTTCTGATGGTAGTGAACTAGAACATCCGCTTGATTTGCCAATAAAACAAGAAGATAACGAAGAAAATAGTTCCATACCTTACGAATGTTCTGATGAACAAGAATTCATAGATATAAGTGTTAAAGAAGAAGATGTTAATAGTATATTCAACCAAAAAGATAAGTTATTGGATTATCTGTTAAACGAAGATATGTCGGATATGGAAGAAGCAAAAAAATACTCGACTATAAAATCAACGAAAGGAAATCGACAGAAAACAGATGTCATACTACAGGAGACTGAAATGATACTAGTAGACGACCCCATAAATTCTGTCATTGGACAAGATGTGCTTGACACAAACTATGTAATTACTTACTATCTATGACACATATATATATATATTAATATATACATTTTTTTTTTTAGATGAATGAGTGTAAAATTATGTTGGAAGATATAACAAAGCTTTACCCGCAACTTAAACAAGAGAATTGCATTAATATCAAAGACAATATAGTACAAACAAACGAAAATGTTATTATTTCCGAAGACAAGGAAGAAGATATTATTTCTGAACAGACTGATGTACCCATCAAAAAACGCCGGAAACGTGCTATTACTGAAAATAAGACAGCCGCGGAACATAAACGTAGTGCAAAAATTACTACCAGAGAGCTGAAAGCACGTATGAGAATGTTGAAAAAGGACCAAAAAACTTGGCAATGCATGTATTGCATAAAAATGTATCATATGCGGAAACCATTTGAGAAGCATTTGCGTGAGAACCATAAGCGTCCAAAGGAAGAAGTGAGCGAAATATTTAAAGCAGATAATGTCTCTACAGTCACCGATGAAGTTTACAATTGCCGTTTCTGCAATAAAATGTACTTAGTGGAGAAGCGTTTAAAGTCACACGAAAAACTGCATGGTTAGTAATAATGATATTCCTGAATAATAAACTATATTTAAAGTATTAATTATGTTTCCGTAGGTGAAAATGGCGAACTGATCTTTAAATGTCCATGTTATTGTACGATATACTTTGCTACTAAAGAGGAAGCAACAGCACATGCACAATCGGAACATCGGGAAATGCTTTATTGCGATCTTTGTAAAAGATTCTATACCGCACACGATAGTTTTAAGAATCACATGAGAAATCATCATTCGGGCAAAGTGCAACGTTGTTTGCAAAGAAATTTGGTTTGTGAAAAATGTGGCAAGAAATTTTCTGGTCGCACATCATTAACTGATCATGTACGTTCGGATTGTGGTCGCGTGCCACTCTATCCTTGTACGGTTTGTGGAAAACATTTAACCACAGCGGGTATATTAAAAACGCATATGCTTTTGCATAGCTCCGATTCACCATATCAATGCGAACAATGTGGAAAGACTTTTAAGGTTAAGGCACAGTATAATGTTCATTTGAAGAGACACACGGATGTAAAACCCTATAAGTGCCATGTACGTATAGTTGTTATATATAAGTATATTTATAATATCCATACAATATGTATGTATATAACAATTTGTAAATATGTTTAAATGTATAAAGTGGCTTTGTATTGAAGCGGTTTTTCGCTGAAGTATGCTACGTTAGCAGTCTGATTGTATGTGAAAATATGAACCTACCAATCTTTTTTATATTCAATTGCATTACTTATGCATTTTGTTAGATTCTTTCAAATATTTTTATCGTGCGTTAAGGAAACTTATTCATGTCTTGTATCAAGGATCATATAAATTTGACGTCGATAGTCAATTCAAGAGATAATGACGTCGTGAATTGTTACACTGCAGTTTTATTACCTATTCTAATCCTACCCAACTCCGCCATTGCTATCTCTTCCTACCATTTATGCCAAATTTATTATCATTCTATGTGCTTGTTTTCTAAGTTTCATTGTGCATTCCGACAACAATATATAATATAGATTCTTTAATTCTAATAAGTATTACATGTTAAGTACTTGTAGGCAGATATATTCATGGGTGTACGCAGACCAGCGACATTTGAGAATTTCCCCTTTATAAACATTTGTGAGCAAAAATCAAAACAAAAGGTTGCCTGTTATTATACATGCACTTATTACCGATCTATTACATTGTTTAGAGACGACCATAACTTCATAGATTTACTTTTCATTATTACAATTTTTGATGTGCGCTTTTAAGGATATGAGCTATAAGGTCTTTAGCTACGGCCATGGGATATTGCTTATCTATAACAAAGTTCAGTATAGCTTTTTCTTGTTCTCCCGGGTTTGTCTTTCAAAAATTTAAAAAATTATAGATGGAATCATAACCGCATAAATTTATTTTCTTCATTAAATTTTATGGGGCAGCCTTTTGGCGAGATGAGCTGTCTTTAGCTATGTCTATTATTATATTCGCAGTCTACGATACGAGTTCGGCGTAGCTTTTTTTTTTGTCTTTTCTTTTTTATTTTACAAAAATTAAGTTAATTATAATAAATTAGACAAATAAATAAAATGAATTTACTAAATATCCTTAAACACCTATTAGTCTTTGCTTGGAAACCTGTCAGCCAGTTTCAGTCATCCTTTATTGTTGTCGACTGTTTTAGTAAATATTAGTAAACATTGCTATGGATTTGAATTTGTATTATTATTTAATTTTTATAAAATTCTTATACATTATCACGCTCAATTGAAAAAATTCTTATGTCTTTTTTTTTCTTTAATTTTACAGCTTTGTCCTAAGGAGTATCCATACCGTGAAAGTTTGCTAACGCATATGACGATACACACTGGTATTAGACGTTTTATGTGTCAAGGCTGTGGTAAACGCTTCACTTGTATATCGAATCTCCAGGCTCATCGTAAAGTTTTTGCTGAAACTTGTGGTACCTTACCTTTAAACACAAAAGCAACGCACTATATGGGCGTGAAAAAAGGAAATTTGTTGCTGGGCACTAAGCCGCAAGCAGGACTCGATTATGTTGAAACAAATACGCTTATTGCTAAAAACGTTATACGAGACATACCACCTTTACAACCAATCACCAATTTTTCAACATATGTTGAATCCGGCAAAACAGATATTCCTGCTGATAAAAATTGTGTACGTGATATTCCGCCTTTGCAACCCATCAGCACTTATTCAATGGCAACAACAAGTCCTACAAATAATTCGCAAACAAATTCAAATTATAGTTTATTGAACAAATTTGATGAATCGCATTCATCGTCATTTCAATGATAAACTCAATAAAATTCTAATAGCCTATTCACACAGCACAAGTAATTGTAATGTTGATTGCAATCTTGCTCATTCGGTTTGGTAATCTGTTTCGGTTCGGTAATTTCGTTCGGTTCGTTTATTCGTTCGTTCGTTAAAAGATCAAATCAGGATTACTTCAACCAAAATACGATTACATCGTATGTTGTATAAAAGCAAATCACAATTAAATTCGTAATTTATAATATTACAATTCTGTAGTAATGTTGTGACTAGAAAAACAATAAAATTATAATTAAAATTATAATCTAAATTAGATTTACTTGTGCTGCGTAAATGGGCTATAATTTTACTGCCAACCTTCTATTATACTTTTCATTCCAATGTAATTCTTTACTATAGATAACTTCTATAAAAAATTATACTTAAAACACCTGTTCAGTTCAATTTTGTAAAAACTCAGTGCGAATCATCAAATTTATATTATAAATATAAGTTATAATTATTATAATTATTATTTACAATTAAAGATTTGTTCTAATTGTATCTTAAAGACATATTAAATATGTACAGAAACATAATTCATATAAAAATCGAACAAATTTTTTATAAAATTTTTTGTATTTTTTATTTTTTTTAGAGATATTTTTATATGGGTCCTACATTATTTTTATGATCCTCAAGAAGGCAGTAATAGTTCTATAAAAACTATTATACACAATTCAAGTTTATTGTACTATCACGTATTCTATAACATCGTATTTATAATATGCAAAGACTTGGAAATAAGTTTTTAGTTATATTTGGGAACTACGTTACTTAGACCCGTGGCCAGAAATTTAATTTGGTGGAGGTTTTCAGGATAACTTTAGTAGTTTAAAAATTTTTTTAGCTTATGCATTATGTGTAACCAAAATTCTTTGATTCATTGGTGGGGTTTTGGCTTTAGCCCCTCAAGTTCTATGTCTAGGTGTCTAATGATACATCTCAATAATTAGCCTTAATTTGTAAATATAAACTGTAATTATATAAAATAAAGGAGGTGTATAATCTTTCGATGGAGAATAATCGGCACTTGAGTGTTCGTATAGATCAATTGCTCGGAGTCAAAGAACCATCCCCTCCTGCAGTCAACAACTTAGCCATACCCTACTTTCTCTGGTCGTCCTTGTGCCCCAGTCTTCATGTAATATCATCTACGCCTAGGTCGTTTGTCTTGACAAATTTTAAGATAACTTAATAGGCAATAATTGCCTGGGCTTGGAGATATTGATAATTGTCGTAGCATGTACCTTCTGTAAATTCGTTCATAATACTGGTGTCAGTCAACACTTTTACTCTATTCTTTGTGCGGTTACTTCAGAAGTACCACTAGGATTCATAGTCTATAGTATTGCTTCATTCTGTAACGACACAAGTTTTTCTTCGTTATAATTTGCTGGGGTGTACGCAACCATTGTCCAGCTTCGCCTTGATAAATTGATATTTATAGGAACAGAACTTCTCAAAAAAAAAAAAACACAAGAAGAATATTTATATATAATATTATATATTTCTAAATTTTTATTTATATCTTTTGATTTATATACGAGTAAAATATTTATGTAGATTTAATGTAAGTTGAAAATCGATGCAAATTTCCATCCTTACCATTCTAAACTTCAATTTACTCTTTTACCGTAGTCCATTATTCGATCTTTTTGACATCCATAAAACAGAGATTCGCGGCACATTTATTCTTCCATAATTCTATATTTTGATACACCTAACATAAGTGTGCATATAAAACGTTATTATAATTTCAAATAGTGTTTGTTGTTTTTTAGATCTTTTATTAGATTTCCGTGTCAATATCAATAATCTTATCAGCTTCATGTTATGAGTCTTGATAAGTGGTATCCTTTGTAGAAGTATCAGCTGTGACGTGATCGTTGCGTTTGTACGAGTTTCTTTTTTCTTATATATACTATTTATTTAAATTTTTATTTATTTTTATTGTATTGTACTTTTGCCCTCCATACTAGAGATTTCTCCTTGACTATTTGTCTTTTTGAATTCTGGTGTCTTTTTCTAGTAATGAAGATGACCTTCCTAAAATATCTTGTTATGTCATGTATGTCAATGTAGATATGATATTGTCTGCATATAATGATAGGCTGTTTTTGGTTTCTTTAGAGATGTACGATGTTCAGACACTTTACGATAGTAGATGCATCTGCATCCTGCATCCATTTCCCTTACTAAAAATAATTGTGTTTCTATCTTCACACTTGATTTTTTTTTTCGGAAAACTTGCTAAGATGTTAGCAGTTTCAGTGAAATTCCCAGTTTCTTTCCAATTTAATAATTAAATTAGCGTTTCCTGCATGCTTTCTAAAATTTATCTAATATATACATTATATTTATGATTAGAACATCGTATGCAGTAGACTCTGTGAAAAGTCTAAAGAATATGCAGTAATACTCATATAAAGGAACTTCAAGTTCTCAGCTATTCTAATTAAATATGTCCATAGCAATTATTTTTTTAGATACACGAGATATGGAAGAGGTCTGGAAAAGTCTGAAGAATATGTAGTAATACTCATATAAAGGAACTTCAAGTTCTCAGCTATTCTGATTAACTATGTTTATTCTATGGCAATCATTTTTTCAGATACACGAGATATTGAAGAGGCCTGAAAAAGTCTGAAGAATATGCAGTAATACACTTATATAGGAACTTCAAGTTCTCAGCTGTTTTGATTAAATATGTTTATTCTATAGCAATCATTTTTTCAGATACACAAGACATGAAAGAGCATCAGGTGGTGAACTGATTTTTTTAAAAACAGTGAGTTTAATAAAAATAACTTAACTAAGACAACCAAACAGATGAAACATATATAGTCTATAAAAAATCAATCAAAAATGATAATAACTTACACGAGTTCATAAACCGTTATATTCATTAAAATCTATTGAAATTTTGCCGATGAGAGCTCAAAATTTTGTCAGATAATGATATCTTTGCAGATTGAATATTTCGAAACATTAGATCTATATAAAAATGATAAACTCACACAAATTAAATGCCTTTTTTCAGGGAATGGCTAATTGAGATGTTCAAAAATGATATATAAATAGGAATATATCTGTTCTCTTTATTAGACGGAAATCATTTGTTGTAATTGTTATAATACGACGAGAGCAATATATTGGGCTTAATTATTCGTGTTAAAAGGCAAACCCATAACATTGGTCCAATCGTATTTGGAACCGTTTCAGAAAATGTTGAAAGTCATATTATAGAATTTAAGTTTATTAAAAAGTTAAAGCTGATTTCGAAAATAGTAACATTTAAATAATTCTGCTCTTTCTTAAAAATTGGCTAAATCCTTGATAGAAGTATTGATATGCAAATAGAGCCACTAGAATGTAGACTTGTTATATCGGCAAATTCAATAGATTTAAGTCTGACTCGGAAAACTATTATATTAATCAATATAGACATAATTTGCAGTTTACCTATAAATTAATGTGTGTTATACGATAATAGGGACGGACAGACGGCCAAGAACAAAATGCAATGTTTAACTAAAGAAAACAACTTTCTTATGTTATGTGTGGATGATTACTCCAATTCACAATGTAAACGTATAGTGATGATAAATATTTATACTGTTGTGTTTAATATCCAACTTTCCAAAATTTGATAACAATTATTGTCCAATACCTTCTTACCGAAATGCGATGGTCGATCTGTTTGCTATAGCTCTTGCGGCGATATTCTGGTTATATACATTGGTGTAATTTTTTTTTGGCATCGAGTTTGGAAAAAAATCAAAAGATATTCTATAAAGATAACCCATACCATCGGAATTATTGATACGTATTCGCTCCACACCTTCAACACAGAAACCAGGGCAGGTGGATAAATCACTTGTCGTGCATTGCTCAGTTTGAATACTATAGCTTTCTTCAGTTTTGACAATGTTTGATGTTCCAAAAATAATATTATTGTAAATGTTTCACACTTCACCGCTTATTACCACCACATTCATAATGGAAGAGAGACTGGTGTTACCGATTAGCGTTTATAGATATTCTCTAGTATCTAGAAATCTTATGCGCACTTGTATTATGTAGTCTGTACATTGGCAAAATGGTAGTTAGAAATACTTATTAGTCAGAACCGACGTAGGTATTAATGGAAATATTCATATACCTAGTAAAAAATTACTTCTTACCTTCTTTTATATTCTCACTATTATTATTCTGTTGAAATAAAGTAAAACTTAAGTATTTGTGGTACTTTAATGGATCGTATCATACATTAAACTTTCCGTAGTTGTCTAACTTTAATATTGGTTTATAAATATTAGAACAAACACCTGTCTACTCGACTCAAAAAACTATCCCTAAAATCAATAAATTAAAGTACGAGCTATCATAACAACAAACCAGTTTATTAGATATAGCTTTCTTGACTGTTTGGCTCTTCTTCTACTTAAAAAAATTCTGTATTGAATGGGCAGTTTACTTTACTGACTTTTCGAAAATATAATGATAGATGCAATAAATACGTGTTTTTTTATTTATATTAATAGAACTTATTGAAGAATCTAGTAAGATAGTATCACTATCCAACAAAATAACTAATGGAATCCTGCACTGCCAAGGAATTGACTTAATTTAATTCAACCATATATATGGTACATAAAGAAAAATCTGGGGCAAAAATAAATGAAGGGTCTCAAGTGTTCAATAATAGCGCTAGGCTAACCTAGATTTTTTGGAAAGATAAATGACCGCACTGACTCTAGCAAAATCTATAAACAGGAATTTCGATACGCATTAAATATTTAACAATTACATTAAACTACGAACTACATGAATTTAACTGAAAATATACAATTTATATAGAAAAGTTCATATAAACATAATGAGAATTGTAATTTATATGTAAACTAATATGTTTACGAAAAAAATTTTCTCATCAATTTCTGTCTTAAAAATTCAGAATCGAAAAAAAGTTCTAAAAGAAAATTTCCTAAGCAATCATTTATACAATATAATATGTATCATAGGCTATGTTTCTCAAATTAACTCTCTTGATAAGTGGGTGTTCCGATAACAGCTTTATCAATAAATAGTACTTGTTCAAAAAATTAAAATGAATTTTGCTCTTCTTCTGGCGCAAAATCAAAAAATTAATATCCAACTTTTATTCTTTTAAATAAATGTATAAAAAATATTATAGTAAACTTCTACTGTATATGAGTCATTCTTTTACATATCGGACGGATTTTGACAAACGTCCCATTTGGGTGAAAATTTTTATAAGCGCTTTTCATAAAATAAGAAGACCCGAATCTCGGAAAAAAATTTAAAATTTTTTTTTTAGGAGATATGGATCCATAGTCTTTTTTTAATGATGTTTCTGAGAAGTCACCACGCATTTCACAAATGCTACAAAGAAGCATATGATAACTGTAGTTAAAAAAATTGCTTCAGATCCAATAAGTCATCCATCGCTAGGAAAAGATGTTACCGATGCGGTTTTAAAATTTTACTAATGTGATGAGATCCAATAAGTCATCCATCGCTAGGAAAAGATGTTACCGATGCGGTTTTAAAATTTTACTAATGTGATGAAAACAAATAATAAGCTTTATTATAAATGAGTATTGGGCTATCAGTCAGATTTTGTAATTTGGTTTAATAAAAAATTTTTCTTATTATTTTACTTATTTAATATTTATTTCCGACGTTTCGGTTTTTTAAAACCATCATCAGGGAAAAAATTTTAAAACAACTGAATAGAATAAAATTTTTATATAAAAAATATTTTTGACAAATGTTTTAAATAATTACAACGGAGAAAATACAATCAGTTTATCTTAAGAATGATTTTTCTAGCAATGCACAGTAAACAACAGAAATATTTTCTATATCTCGCCGCAAATTATATGTGGGTTTAGTCATTATATGTAAGGACTCTAGGGTAAGACGTCGAGACAAGGAAGGTTCAGTATCAATGACTTTCACTGAAGTAAAATCTGGGTAATGATTTACATCAAGAAAGTGTGAGACTAAAGCTGATTGTTTATCCGGATTAATTTGTTTTAGACTATTTTTATGTTGACTTATTCTTTTATGTAATTGATTTTTTGTTTGGCCAATATAGCAGAGTTCACATTTTTGACCATTATTATCAGTTCCAGTGCATGGAATTTCATAGATGCAATTAATAATGTTGTTCGTTTCAATACGATCTTTCAGTTTGGTATATATAGTTGTTTGAATTTGTGCAAATGGTTTAAAGGATATTCTTAAATTGTCTACTTTCCTTTCGATAATCTTAGCAATTTTAACTGATAGGTCATTAATATATATCATCGATCTTCTAATCATAGGAATTTGTATACTCTGCTCATGGTGATTAGTTCTTGAAAGTTGAAAATGTTGACGTACTCGATGTAGTTGACTAACAATCATTTTGCGAGGATAGTTATTATCAGACAAAATGTTGAAAGCTTTATTAATGTTAGTAACGTAAAATTCTTTGTCACTTATAGAAAAAATGCGGAAAAAAAGGTTGTAAATCACATTCATTTTTTGTTGTCGTGGGTGGTGTGATAAATAGTTAAGAATTTTACCTGAGAATACATCTTTCTGGTACCAGTCAATTGCTAGTTCTCGATTATTTTTCTTAGATATTAATAAATCTAGGTAGGGAAGTTTTCCATTAAATTCATGTTCAACAGTGAATTGTATGCGATTGTGTATGAAGTCAGCATATATGAAATGGAAAACAAATAATGCTGAGGAAAAAAGTTTGCGTATCCATAAAAATTGATGTAAAAAGGACACAAATGCAAAAATGGCGGCTACTCTAAGTAATCTGGAGAAGCTGCATACTCTTTTTAAACTCAACCATCCGGACCTTGAATATAGTGTTTCTTAATTTGCATCTTCACGACCCCAGCAAGGCGTACTTGCAGGAGCAAGAGGCACACTTTTAGTTTGTGAGTGTTAGATGAAGAGCGGATCAATGACTGTAAAGATTGCATACATCGTATGATTTGCAGTATTTCATATCACAGTATGTTTTTTAGAAACTTGCGCCAATATCCTGAAACTGTGAACCAGCTACTTCTGAAGATATTTTTTGACATCATTGAAACTGTTACATATAAACAATAAGTTCGTCACGACAGAATCACCTTAAGAACTTTGACATCTCCAATAGACGAATAGTTCGGATAATGTAGAGGTTGTAAAGTTCTTGGGTTATGAAAAGAAAAACGCGTCGCTTTGAGTGTCCAAATAAGACTGATTTTTATTAATTTTTATTCTTAAGTCTAACATCGTTTCTTAATACTAATTTCCAATAGAATCTTATGTATTGATTCTATTGGTTAATACTTATAATACTTGCGTCTAATTGGTTAACCGAAATTAGACGTATATAATATTCTTACAGACATAACTTATCAATAAATGGTGTACTATTAACTAATGCAAGTGTTCCACATATGGTTTTACTTGAAACCGTTTATTCTATTGACACAGTTTTGACTTATGCATATTGCACATATGGTGCAATGTGCGGCTCAGTTATTTGTCATCAAAGTAATGACAAGATAAAGGCTCATATTACCTGACAATAGTTTGTCATAAATTTTATCAAAATAGAACTGTGTCAATGTTTACTTTAAAATATTTGGAACAATTGAATGTTTTGTGATATGTGTGGTCTCATACCCATATCACATTACAAGGTAATGTAGAACTAATCAATTTTTTAATTCATCAAAATAAGGAAAATCTTAACAAGGCGTTTCATGATGAAACTTTTTTAAATTAGTACCTACCTTTAAATTAGTACCTAACAGTACTGGCACAGAAACCAGTACTATTTAAATATTGATGCTGAAGACCATCAATATTTAACTATTGTGTTAAAACTTGTAAATCTATTAGAACTTTTGATTGTCAGTATTATAGTATTTATAAACCTTTATTTTAACTATATAACGACTGTATAAAGAAGATCCCCAGAAGTTGAGAACTACACACTTTTCGTTAAACACACCGGACCTCATAAATCTAAACACTTTATTTACAGTGACAGATGTCATACGGAAAGGCTTAATAAACTAATCAAATACGATAATCAAATCTTTGAATATTTTATTTTTTTGACATCCAATTTTATAAAATAAGTTTTATAAGACGAATCACGACTCTCAGCGGCTACACCAACCTATACCCATCAGAAAATGTAGCATTTTAATATGATAATATATGGGAGCTATAATTTACCGAATAATTGGGTTTTTAAATCTAGTTTAAGCAATTTAACCTTAAAATTTCTTGTTTATTTTTGAGTCATTATATATATATATAGATCAAGTTGCAATGTTTTGGAATTGTATAATATCCATTTATTTATAATAGAAAGAAAAATAAACAAAAAAATTTTCATTCCTTTTTAAATCTTATCCCATGCTCTTTCACTTTAGCTTTCTTTTAGACAAATTACAATAACATACTTAAAGTTAAAATATTTATAATTTTCATCCTATGATTGTAAAATTTACAAATATTTTATCAATTATATTCAACAAATTACTAGAGAGAAAAAATGCCCATATTTACTTAATATAGTATATATAATACAAAATAAATTATATATATAAATTTATGTTTATTAATACTAAAAAAAATTAGATCATTACATTTGCTGTCTTACATTTTAAATAATAAAAGAAAGTTAAAAGATAAAAAAAACATTGATACATTATAGAAAATTATTTATAGTTATATTGTCTATATAAATTTCAACATACAGGAATTAATAAAATTTAAACCATTATATTACATATATTACATATAAGAAATTTCGATCTGTTACGTATGGCTTTCATATAATCCATTTCTGAAGAGACCAACTGCCAACTGCTTTCCAAAACAACTGCTTTTCCAATTTATTTCTTTAGATATAATATGCTCACAAAAAACTAGTTCACTGCAGAGCTGGACTTTTCTTTGAAACCATTTATAATTACCATATTTATTATTATATTAATATAATCATGTTACAAAACATGATTATATTTGGAAGAAATATCGATACTAACTTTTAATGCATATATATTCGATTTTTATCACAAAGCAAAATAGAATACATAGCAACTAGTAAGTCATAATTCTTTATTTTTTCTTTTTTTACTATATTTATATAAATTTTTACTATATTTATATATACTAGACTCTAGGTTCTAAAACTAAATTCATTTCCATTGTAAGTTCGAAGCAATGGCGTAACGTGGGGGGTTTAACATGCCCGGGTGCCACCAGCAGAATGGCGCCTACTGATCACAAAACATTTGATGCTCAGGGCGCCAATTATGCTCATGACATCATTATAGTCGTTTTCTACAATTTTACGTTCAAAACCGCGTCTCAAAACAGCTTTTGTGTGCATATAAATATAGTATATTGTATATTGAAGTTGCAATTTTTACTATTAATTAACTATTTATATATCTTGTATTATTTAATCAAATTTATCTTTCATACATAGTTAATAGGTTTCAAATATTACATTTGCGGTCATGAAAAATATGTCCATTAAAATATTACTTTGTGCCGTAATTTATTGCATTATTTTTTTGCTTCCATTTAAATCCTACTTCTTAGACGAGTATATATTCTTTTCGGATTCACGTCCACATAGATATACACCAATTTGTAATTTGGTGCTAGTTTAAACGGAAAGCTGCTTTAGAATATCGACCCACAGGCATGTTCCCACGCAGTCGCAAGCGTCGAACAGCTTCACGTAGATATTTCGGTGTTAGCGCACCCGTTTCTCCACCTGTTTCCATAACATCTAGTGCTTTAATAGAAAGAAAAAAGTGTTAAATTCATATAAAAAATGAAAATTATATATACAAATATTATAAATAATTGTTTTTAAAATAAAAATTATTTTTGACCTATGACAAGAAATCTTTATCAAATGGAAATGGAATGGAAAGTTAATATTTTTTTCTGACCATATAGCTATTTCGGATACTACTAATTGCCTATTATTAGTGTTATTGGAAAATATCTACGCCAGGAATAGATAGATATCAAAATATCAGGAATTGAACTCTGTCAAATTTGAACCTTGGACTGTGCAGTAATCTTGCAGTTACTGCTTTATATACTAGAACTAATCCATGGATCACAGCTATATAAGTTAACTTAATAATTGTAAATAGTTTTTTTTTTATTAGTTTTTTTTTTAGTTTTTAACATTATTGTTTGTATAATATATGTCTGCATATTTATTCTTGATCACTTGAGTTCTGCAAATGTGTTTAAAGAGTTTCACCTAACAGGTCTGCTTCACAAGGTACTCGTAATAAAACTCGAGTAAAATACAACTCAGTTGGAAAAGTCGTCTTCGAAGACGTTGCCTTCAAGACGCTCTTTCATACTGTGTCCACATATTTAGGCAAATTTGCAAAAGAATTGCTTATAACATGAATGTAAAAAATCTCTCTGTTCCTTACTCGCTCATTTGTAGTGTTCACCGCAACCTATGTCGCTGTGCCTTTATTTTTTTCAATCAAATGCGTTCGCTTTGTATGACATGGATGCATCCAGTCTTCGGTACATGTATGCAAAATGTCTCTGAGGACATTTGGATGATTTGTTCGAAAATGTCTTCGAAGACCGTCATACATTTGGATCGATCGGTCTTCAGACGTGTATCCATGTCGTCAAGACATCTTCGACGACGGAAATAAAGTACAAACTAAGGGCGTAGCACAAATAAAATGCCAGTTTTTAATAGATGATGAATATGTTGATGGGGTATAGTACGGGAATTTTATAATTAAGGATTAAAAAGGCTCTGCGAGATGCCAAAATGACTTTTGAATACCTTCTTGCCATACTTCGAAAAAACAGCTTGTATGTAATTGTTTACATATACTCGTTTTCTATTTCCTTTATATAATAATAAATTTATCAATTCTAAATCATCGTCAGAGTCACTATCTCGAAGTATACTAATAACTTTATATTCTGGCTGTGCTGTATTACTTAGTTCACTTAGAAAGTATTTATGTTTTTTGATGCAACAATTCGAAAATTTAAATTCAAACTAAAACAGCTGAAGCACAGATCAATTTCATGGGCTGATGTGATATCACAATCTGGTTTCACAAAGAGCTGAGATGATGCTATGATCTTTGCGGAATCCACTACGTTTGTAGGGAGAGAGGTGAATGTGCTGCGATATACTATGTTTTACGTTCAGAGACTCCAGAACTTTGGCTACTGGAGATAACAGCGACATTGGTTCATGAGATTTAAACAGGGAATTATTCTGACAGTCTTCCATATTATTGAGACGATGTGAGAATTGATAGAACTGTTTAGAATGTGAATTGGACGGAGAGGCTAATGGCTCAGTGATGCTTAAGCATGAGCAACGTACACATCTGGGAGAACACTATGATGTTTGACTTTGAACAATAAGCAATTAACTTTTTATTACATATATTGTTCATTTAGTGACCAATTGACACAGGCGGTGTAGGATCTTTGGTTTCAGACGTAACTAAGTCTATGTCCTTAAGGAACTTTTCTTTTTAGTTGCTTACAACCACTCTTCTCTCGTACAGTATACAACAGTTATAAAGAATGAAGAAGTTTTAAAGATTTCTAAATACAGAACGGAAAATAGCAATATCTACAGCGTAACTGTGTCATATAAATAACAAACTTAGTTTTGGCTTTATCAAAACTTTAATATCCTTTTAGAAGAAATGGTTTACTATTTATTCATATTCACATTATTCTAGCTGTATTTATACATTATTGATGAGATATTCAAGTCATATAGTTAATTATACATTTAAGTTATTGCAATTCATGCTAGATGTGGTGAACAATAATTGGCTGTGTGAAAAGACGAGTAACTTCGGAACGTAGACCATCAATAAATTGGTATAGATGCTCCGAGATATAATCTACTTACGTTATCCATTTGGTCACTAGACAGACATTTACATAAACAGACAGACACACAAAAAAACAGACGAACGTTAAACATATTTAACGCAACACTTATTAAATAATATATAACTAATATTGGTTTATAAATACAAAGTGGGAAAAAATGATTGACAACCTTCTTCTACAATTTCACCAACGAAAACCTTAGCAATGCCTGACATGGCTATGACAACGTTCTGTGACACAGAGCAGCCGGTAATGGTTTGCATCAAACGTTTCACAGCGGCTTTTGGAAACGCGGATCGTCGGTACATTTCATAGCGATCTAATTGATCTTCTGTAAAATTAGATACCAGCACTCTGTAAAAGTTTACAATATTTTATTACAAAATGTGTACATATTTAATTGCTTTGTTTGTATATAAATTAGATTTATATATTTAACTCACTGCATGCGTTCACGTTCCTCCTCTTCCATTTCTTTACGTGTTTTTTGTTTTTTCGCGGGAGGCTCTTCAGTATCGCCATCAATTTTATCTTCCTTCAAATCAAAACTAATATCCAGGCCGTCATTATCGGCGTCTCTATTTTCATCATTCAACTTGGAGTTTTCATCTTGACTACTTTTATTTAAATCAAACAAACGTAGCTCATCATCTTCAACTTCTTCGTTATTAGCACTTTGTGTTGGAAAAAGTATATCATCCATTTAAATATTAAATTACACTACAAAATATAACTACTTTTATCAAAAATAGCGAGAAACTCTCGTCATAATTTGCATTCTTTTTTGCATCCTCCATGGCAGAGTTGCATTTTATCTATAATTCCAAATTGTTATACCAAATAGAAAATGGTTGGATGTTCACGAAAATCTAAGTTTTTTTTTCGTGTAGTTGGAAAACATCGAGGGTCTCAGTGTTTGAAACATGAACCCACAAAAAAAATTCTTTCGAATGCAAAATGGACACACAAAATGGAAAACTCTTTAGAAAATAAAGGGCTTAGTATATAGACAACATATATATTTAAAACATGATATGAACGATGTTGCATGTATGCAAATCAAGTATGCGTGCCACAAAATCGTGCTGTGTATATTTAAGTAAACATACCCAATTTCAGTTTACTGGCATGTATGCGTTTAAATTAAAAATTTTCAATTATTTGTTAAGTCTCTACACATGTCTGCATGTGTATAACGAAGTCTGCAGAGTTTTCTCTTTGTTTGACAATTTTGATGAGCATCGACGAGCAAAGATTGTGGAAAAAAATTATTAATTAGTGACAAAAAGAAAAAGAATACTTCAAAATGAAGTATGGTTATTATGTTTCAAAGTGTATAGCAAAACGTACACTTGGTATACATACTTGGTGTGCAGACATGTAGCATCGTCTATAGCATATTTAAGAGATATGTTATGATTGCAGTTACAGTCAAAAATAAAACTCACAAATCATCTGATTCTGGTTTTATTTGTTTTGTTGTATAAAAAAGTAAAAAAATACCAAGATAAAGTAAAAATCAGAATTTAGAAGTAAAAAAAACTTAATCCTTTATTTAATTTTTAATTTCTATCAAGATATCTTCACTAATTATTTTGTAAATTTTTCAAATTTAAATTTTTTTGCAATACTTTATAATAATAAAAATTAACTGTAGACCGTATACCAAAAAAATTATGACACCTCATGTTGTAATATATCGTTAATTTGATAATGTGGTGATGTTGTTATTTTACTGAAACAAATACACATAAAAATTTATCACTTAACCTAATTATCGAATATGTCTCAATAATATATTTTTTATTAAAACTAATAACTTTTTTAATAAAAGCAGTGTAGTCTTATATGTATAAACTAACTGTTAATAAGTTATTTAAATGATCAGACACCTTTTGAAAATGCAACTCTGTACAGGATATATTTTTTTGATTGGTTTTTATAAAAACTTTTGTACTAAGCAAAGTTGCAAAACTAACTAAAGTTTACAGAATACCAAATTCAGCTTAAATATCCCTAATGTAAACAATGTGGTTATATATGGATTTAAAAACTATAAAAAAACTAATCACAAATTATTTCAATAAACTGTTAGTAGTATTAGTTGATTTGTAAAACTCGTCATGATATAGACAAAGGCAGATAAATGCGTTTGAGTACTACTAATTTAAAAAAAATACTTATATTCTTCCGTTTAGAAAATTTCACTCTAAAAGTTCTACGAGCAAAAATAGTAGGTACAAAAACCTTTGCGCAGTACGACTGCAGGTAATTTCTATTATACTCAACCTAAGCATAGTTATATTAAATTAATTTTAAAAAGTAGTTTTTAAATTTATTTGTTTATTATTCATATGTCAAATTTAAATTGGTGATTGATATAATATTTTACACATTTATTTAATGTGTTATATCCTTAGAAAATTATATATTTTCTTAGTTTTTTTTTCCAGGTCAGACAAAATTAATTGTTTATCTACTGAAAACGGTGAAGGTATGTTACATATGCGATTTTCTTTACATATAAACTGCTTGAACTATATAAATACGTAGTTCTCTAATATCGTCCTTCGCAATATTGTTTCCATGCAAATTATTGTTTATACCTAAAATAATCGAACCTTAATGGGAGTTTGCACAAACTTCTGCCACAAGTACTGAATTTTTTTTTTGTTCAAAACTGATAGCTGGATCATTTCGCGTCGTTTTAATAGTTGATCTCAAAAATATTTTACATTACATTTAGAAATTTAATGTAAAATATATATTAATTGTATAAGATTTTTTATTAAAAAAATTGTGACTTGCATTTCTAGTTTGTAGAATGTAAAAAAATAATACTTGCAGTCAAATTAATGAAAATCTGAACAAATTAATTCAAATCCTTAATTAATTTGTCGCTAAAAATTGTTCAATTACCAAAAGCTTCGGTAAAATACTGTTCAGACTAATCCATTTTTCATATTAATTGACTTTAAATAAAAACCGGTTTACACATTGACACATTTCTATTGTTTAAATATAAAACAAATCAATGTGGTTTCAATACGTAATGAAAAATTGAAATTTTGAAATGGTTAGCATTTTTATCTCATATGACTAAATTCATTTAGTTGTTTATGAATTTAAATTAATAAGTATATAAGATGTTCACATGATTTTAACGAATGACTAGAATTTCACAATAGACTGAGTAAAACTTTAGTCGTAAAAATGTTTGCGAGCACAATTTAATTCTGAAAATTTTAAAAGCATTGTTGTTGCTCCACATGTTTTCTTTCGTAAGTTGCTAGCATTTATTTGCTTTTCGGATAGAAAAAATTATTGAAATTAAAATTTGTATTTAGGTCGTGTGCGAGTTAGGTTAAGTTGCGTTCTAAATGAGGGAAATTCTAAGTTGTGTCGATAATGTATTGATGTGTCGATACGTGTTGATAAATGGCAAAATGTGTGCAGTACAAAAAATCTCCCATTTGGTTTAGCATCAACTTAGCCTAACTCGCACACGACCTTAAATAAAACAAACTAGAAATGTACTGGTTTGAGGAACATTTTAATAAATCTTCTATTTAATATTCAGATATATGAAAGCAATATACATTTAGGCCGTGTGCGGACTCGAGTAAATTGAGGTAAATTTAATTGAAATATTCTAGGGATTTTTTGCACTGCACTTATGTAAATATTTATTTATTGTATTTAATTACAATAAATAATTAACTCGAAATTCTGTTAAATACCAACATTCGCTGCCATACTGACATAATTTACTATTTCCTTCAATTTATCATCAATTCACTCGAACTCGCACACGGCCTTAATCAGTTAATAATATAAAGGTAACTTGAAGGTGAATAGGCCAGCTCTTAATAGAATTTCTCTAAAAATTTTTGACGATATTTGTATATTATAGCATCATAATGAATGTATTATTTTGGAATGAAAGATAGTTATTATAATGAATGTTATTGCTTGAATGGATAGATAGAAAATAGATTCAGCATATACCATACATTAAGATATGAGTAAAAATATAGTTTATTATTGCTTTATTAAACTATTTTTAATTAAGCAATAATAATAATTTTATGCCAATAACAACCATATAGCTACTACATTTTTTAAAAAATATTTAATTATACAGATATATCAAGATATTATTTCAGTTCGTTGAATTACGAATAGAGTAAATGTTTTTTATGTTATCAAATACTTAAAACAAAATAAGTGTAATAATTGAAATCACTTGCAACACTGTTTTCGACATTTGGTATAATCATATGTGTTTTTGCATTAACAAACACTAATTCGAAATATTCATCGTATTTAACGAACCGGCACCTCGTGCCTATCTTCTTTCTTTTTCTTATATCGCCTTGAGTCAAAGTGTATGTACAAATTCGCATTGATCTTAAATCAAAAGAGTTTGTTAGTTTAAATATATTTGAATTAATTATAACAAAAGCAAAGTGTTATTATCCACAATGACTGATGTTTTAGTGCAACAACCAAATGAAATCGGCAATGATGATAATTTGGCTGTAAATGTTAATCAAGTAACTGTTGACGCCAATGGCGATGAAGTAAAAAAACAAAAAAAGCCAAAGCCTAATAACAAAAAGCTGCGCCAAGGTAAGTTAAGATAAATAAAATTTCTATATGGTTATTAATTGATTTATAATTAATTAAGCTGAAGCCGCTGCTAAAAAAGCGTTGGAAGGTACAACTGATGAGGTTACCGAAATGAAAAATATGGTTACTGTTGAAGCTGTTCCGGCAGCCGATGGCGAAAAGAAGGCAAATAAAAAGAAGAACAAAAATAAAAATAAGTCTAATGCTGCAGGAAAAGCCAAAACATTAGCTGCACCAACAATTCCTATATCAGCTCAATTTCCTGATGGTAATTATCCTGAAGGAGAAGTTGTGCAGTATCATAAGCCAAAGGATTTTCCTGATAATCGTACAGCTATTGATCGCATGTCGAGTGAGGAAAAGCGTGCTTTGGATCGTTTGCATACAGATATATATATGGAATTGCGTCAAGCAGCTGAAGCGCATCGACAAACACGTCAATATATGCAGAAGTTTATAAAGCCCGGCATGACAATGATTGAAATATGTGAAGAACTTGAAAATACTGCACGTCGTTTAATTAATGAAAATGGTTTGGAAGCTGGTTTAGCTTTTCCCACTGGTTGTTCACTGAATCATTGCGCTGCACATTACACACCTAATGCTGGCGACACCACTGTCCTTGATTATGATGATGTTTGTAAAATTGATTTCGGTACACATATTAAAGGACGTATAATTGATTGTGCCTTTACCTTAACTTTCAATAACAAGTATGATAAATTATTGGAAGCAGTAAGAGAGGCCACTAATACTGGTATTAAAGAAGCTGGTATAGATGTTCGTCTATGTGATATTGGTGCTGCTATCCAAGAAGTTATGGAATCCTATGAACTGGAATTAGATGGAAAGACGTATCCAATCAAATCTATACGTAACTTGAATGGACACTCCATAAGTCCATATCGTAAGTTACATAATACATAATATTTTATTAATATAATAATAGATATATTATAATGTATTATAATTTATAATCATATATTATGTATCGTATGCTTGTTTAGTAATTTAAGCTAATAACATTTATGACCTAATATTATTATAGCTTATAATTTATGAGCTTTATGAATTTATATTATATTTTATTTTAAATAATAATTCCAATATAATATTATATAACAATCTATAGTCACATATTGCAATGTAAATATTATATATTGTAGACTGTTATCTTATATGTTTTAATATAATTGATATGGAATATTTTGTATATTCTTATATTAATTAATACTGTAATCATATGTTACAATGTATGTTATTACATAGTACTCACATACTTATTATTCATTATCATAATAATTATATGTATTCATATATATCATAGCATTACGGTTTGTGGTACGCTTATAACTTAATCGTTCGCATGTTTCTATGGATCAGTATTAAATGTCATTGTCCTTCAGTTTCTGATTTATAACAAGTTAACATTAATTCTATATGTTATATATTGGATTGCTTTTCGGTGGTTAGGCTGAGTGAATTAATGATTTATTTATTCATTTAGATTAACAGTGCTGATTTTGTAAAGTTTAAAAAAAAAAAAATAATTTAATGAAGACGTTTCAAAATAATTAAATTGACTTAACTGTGCGGGATTAGCCTAGAGTAGCCGGGACTGTTAAGATGAAATGTTTTTGTTAAGGATATTTTGGGGTCAACTCATCACTCGGGTATGCATAGTTAAGCTTCGCTCAGCTCTAACTCAAACATCTCTATTTATTCAATTAAACTACTTTCGTTCCTTCTGTCTGCCGCGTTAATTCTTAAATTATTTTTCCGCAAATAAGTCTTAAGGGTATGGCTGCTTTGTGTATTCTAACTCTACAATTTGCCCCATAATGAAATTCAAATACTTTAATACGATCATAATAAATAAGCTACTTACGTTCGTCCTCATAAGCTTCTTTCATGCTTCTGCTTAAGGGATTCCTAACAAAGGTCTTATCCTAATTTCTGTATAAAAAGCTTTTCTATATATGTTTATATTATTCTTGTGGTTACTATATTAACTGTATATATTTTGGTCAGTTTTGAATATTTTTTCGCCTGGCAACATCTTTAATAGTTTAATCAAGTATTAGGTTGCATATTATTGCATACAATGTCATGTTGGTTTACGTTAAATGTCAATTCGAAATGTTCAGATATAACACAAACGAAGGAAGCTATCATTTGATCCAGTTCCTAATCCTTCTTTCTAAATTTTTTTTTTAGTAGAAAAGAGTGATCGTTTATTTGACATCATTGTGCTCTTGTGCTCATTGATACGCTCCTAGCAGTCGTTCACCTCATTTCTTAAACTTATTTGTTGTAAGTTTCTAGGAGTGTTTGTAACAAAATTGATCAAAGTGATCATATGAAATGATCCACATCATGTCGTAACACTTTTGATGCGTATTCACTAATATTCCCCACAGTTTATGTATGTACAGCTCTGCCCAGATATGTATTATTTTGTTATTAATTAATAGACTCTGTAATTACTACCGCTATTTGTCGACACATTTAGATTTTTGACCAAGTTTTGCAGGTACTTCTACACGTTCTCATGCATTTTCAATGAGCTAGTTGCTTTTTAATTATCTTCTGTAATTGGCGAGCTTTGGTGCATAAAAGCTCCAAATTTTTTTAGGATTTTACGACCATTTTGTTCTTCAAATACAGTCCCGTATTCTCCAATGGTACGTTCAAGCATATTTTTGTCTTTGCGTGCCTTCTACAAATGTTCCAACAATTGATCAATGCTTAGTTGACCAATATTTTCATTGGCATCTGCGGTTTGAGTTTGTTGTTGTTGTAACCCGCTGGAACCTGTAAGCAGATAACAAGAAAGCATATGCAAGACGATTACATGGTAGGGGAATGAGTATAAGGGATGGAATTAAATGGGTTGAATTTAAATTGTATATTAAGCTGGGTCCTGACGGAGAAACCTGACCACTTCTATGGGGTGGGTCCAAAGGTCAACTGGACAGAGGCAACGTCTTAGGAAGTTGAGCTGCAGTTTGGACATACATTAGGTATCGAAGTATTTATGCGTGACAAGTAACTGTTAGCACTCGGTTATATCCTGATCTCAATTCAGCTGGAGGTGGTGGTTGTTGAGTAGTCGGAAGAGGCAGCTGTAGGTGATGCGGTTAAATCGTTGCATGAGTTAGTTGTTTGAGTGCTGTTCTTTTATAAAATACTGTTGCGATATTGTTGATTCAAAGACAATAGCTTCATGCTTTATAATAGTGGGCAGTTCATGTATTTGCAGTTGCTTATCAATTATAAATATTACTAAATGTTGTTCTTGTTGTAGTAGCCCATACTTGAAGTACCGAAAGCCCACAAAATACACTTAGTCTACTATGTTATAATGGTTATAATGTTGGAACAATTAAATAGCAGTAAAACATGTGATATAGAACTACATATAAATGGAAAAGATACTCCATCAATGTATAAATCTATAACCACTGTCATCATCAGAAATAGTTTCCAATGTATCTGGATATGAAGATATGAATTGAAAGATATAATGACTTCATTTGATACGGCACTTGAATTTCCAACCGTGTAATACACAATGAAAAATTGTTTAAATAACAGTTGATTTAAATCTTTCACAAGAAGTATCAGAATTTCCGTCTGGTGAACCAGATGGGACCAGATGACAGTCAGTATGAAATGTGAGTGTCGAAAATTGAAATGATTAAATATTATTCTATTGCTTCTAGCAAAATTGAATGTCCATTGTTTTGCCTTATTGTTCTGCATAAGCTCAGCAAAGTGTTTTAATTTGTATTCCAAGAGCAGTATACTTCGGTATACTTCTTCAGTATACTGTTGAGGACGTTCGATAGGTCCCTCAACTCAATTGCATTGAAGGAAGTTATTGCATGTAGATTGACTTAGAAGCTTTCGTATTGTATGCACGCACATACTTTTCACAATTGTGTTTATATATTCTTTACGGAACTAATAAATTATTTTTTTTCACCTCTTAAATATAGCTTAGTATAATATATCTTCCAGTTTTTTTTCTTAGTGTTAATGTATTTGTTCACTCTTGGATTATGTACATTATTCTTAATGACTCTAAGTACTGGTTTTAAGCCTAAAATTACAACAGACTGTGCTGTCATATATGTTATTTGCTTTATTTTTGTTTAGCTTTCTGTTTTTATTTTGGTTTTAGCTGTCACTGAGTCTAAGACTTGTGTTGACATTAGCTATCACGTTCACACTTTTATATTTTTTTATCAGTTATTAGTCTTTATTTTTTTAGAAATGAAAACCTTATCTATTTAGTATGTAGTATTCTAACATATTTGATGCAATAGCAAACAATGTTATGGAGCAATTATAAATGCGAAGTTTTCTTTGTCCATTAGTGAATTGAAATCAACACTGTTTTAATGGTAATGACCCAGCCCTGATTGTAAAAGCTTTTAGATCTCTGTTTAAAATCCATTCGAATATGACCATCCACAAGTGTTACCATTCACAAGGATAACGAAACAAGTAGTCTTACTTGAGAACGGTTTTTGTAGTATTTCTTGCTGTAGTAATCTAAAAAAAACCTATGGGTTAGGGTTGGGTGTAGAAAGGGAGATCTTAATAAGAGTAGAATGGGGGTCCTTATGGAATACCGTTTTATTTATGTTGTGCTGCGTATATTCTTCAATTAAATACAGAAATAGAAGTTTCTAGAAATGTCTGTATCTTGAAATACTTGATATGTGTATATTATTGGTACGTTCTAAAATTTTCCTCACTTGCTCGTTATTGTTATTGTTCAGCTTAAATATCACAAATTTTTATTTTATTTTGTTGTTTATTTTTTATATAGTTTTTAGTACAAGTGAAAATCTTATTGATTTTAAATTTTTTGTTTGTTTGTATTTATTTTGAGACAGAATCATACTTCTTTCACGTACCATTATTCTATAGGGTATTTTTTTTAACATTTGAGAAATTGAAATGATAATACCAGACAGAAATATTATTGGAATGAAATTTTTTCTTTATTATAATCTGGTAAATAATTTCATGACATTAACTTTTTGAGTATGATTTGTCCGCCGCGGCTACGAGTTACGTGGTCCATGCGATCAGTCTAATTTGGCTTCCAAAGTTGCAATAGTTGCTGGTTTTTTGGAATAAACCCCATAAAAAGTAATCGAAAGATATTAAATTGTATGAAGGAGGGGACCAGTAATCAGGCCCACTTCTGGAAAGAAAGTTGTTACCAAACTGATTTCGCAATAAATCGATTGTTAAGCGCGCTGTATGACAAGTTGTGCTGTCATCGTCATCGATGCTTAACTGATTAATTTTTTGAAACAAAAATTCAGTCACCATAGCTCGGTATCGCTCGTCATTTACGTAATGGCAGCTCCTACCCCATTTTGTAAGAAATGGGAACCGCTGATGTCACCAGCATGTAAACCGCACCAAATAGTCAATTTTAATAGATGTAATGGTGATTCATTTACGTTTTGAGGATTATCTTCGCTCCTTACGCGACAATTTGGCTTATTGATTTAACTAGAAATTAGTTTAATTGCTAAATACAATTCTTCGATAAAAATACTTATGAACTTCACGAACAGATTTATTTTTTTCAGAGTAAACCACCGCAATTTGGAAGCTTTGTTTTAACGTTAAACGAATCATGGTGAATTGCTAACGAAGTTTGACGTTCTTAGCTATCAGACTATAGTTAATAGTTCAGGTTTAAAAAAACGGCTACATCCCGGAGCCACTACTCAATCACGGCGACCAAGTGCCGTTCAACACTACCCAAAGGGCTTACACAAGCAGATCCCTAAGGGTTACAACAAATACAATATATCGATAGTTCTAATGCAGTTAAAGAAACACCTTATGTAATCGGTCTCTAACGCGAGCTACTAACTGTTTTTTTTTATTAAAAAAATTTACTAAAACACTTGTACATCCTGGTTTATTGATTTACTGATGAGACCTTGATTTCTTTCCAGGACCGATGAGTGAGATGTGGTTGTTATAAATTAGGACCTCCAGGACCTAGTTATATTTTTGTTATTCTCTACTTTTCAAGTTTTTCTAGTTAAAATTCGTGACGTATTCTATCCAGTTTATCTAAATTATTTAATAAATGTACGACATTTAGAGAGCTTCAAGTATTTTGAGGCTTTAATGCTTTTTATATAGTCTCAAATCCCATGATATATGGATTTACTATGAATAACTGATAGTTCTCAATTGTAGTCGATTTTCTTCTCTGTGACAGTTTTCGATATATTTCGATATACATGATTTGCAAGTCATGTGTAAATGAAATCAGAGGTAAAGACTACTTATTGTGACGTTGTTCAGTCTTTTTCTATAGGGCGTTGTTTAGTGGACTTAATAAACTACTCTAATATATTTCTATACTATATATTCTATATATATACTATATTCTATACTATACTATACTTATTTAATTGATTTTACTTATTTTTAAGTAGCTTTATGAATACTACTAATGGACTTATATTGCATTTATTTAGACTTAATGACAATTTATGTTATTTATATTTTTTTTAAGGCATACACTCAGGAAAAACTGTGCCAATTGTAAAAGGTGGTGAATCTACTCGAATGGAGGAGAACGAGTTTTATGCAATTGAGACTTTCGGTTCTACTGGACGTGGTCTGGTACATGATGATATGGATTGTTCACATTATATGAAGAATTTTGATGCACCATATGTGCCACTGCGTTTACAATCTTCCAAACAACTGTTAGGAACTATAAATAAGCATTTCGGAACTTTGGCATTCTGTAAACGTTGGTTGGATCGTGCCGGTGCTACAAAATATCAAATGGCTTTAAAAGATTTGTGCGACAAAAACATTGTTACAGCTTATCCACCATTGTGCGATATAAAGGGCTGTTACACTGCACAATACGAGCATACAATTATGTTACGTCCCACCTGTAAAGAAGTCGTTTCCAGGGGTGACGATTATTAAGTTTGGTAACAAATTAAAAATTCAATAATGAAAAAAAGAAACAAAAGAAGAAATACAAAAAAAAATTTTTATGAAATAACCTTTAAAATTATATAAGAAAGTTTACTAAATATTTATTTATACCAAGAAATAAATAAAAACAATATGAACAAAAAAAATTTATAGGATTATGATATGATATGAGCTGATTACTAATATTAAGAAATTCTACAAATTCTTTCCAGTCGTTTCTATATCCCGTGAATTGTCTTAGTTCATTAAACGATTTGCAAGTCTCTATAAAGGAAGTTTTGTTCCAAGTCCTTTGTGTTCTGTCACGGTCCTTAGCCCTCCGCGTCTTAAGGACAGAATTCTTTACGAATTTTTTGTCCTATTTGTTTGAATAGAAAATCTGTAAATTATTTAAAAACTTGTTCAAATGAAATTGAACACACATGGGGTTCTAAACATACACAGAAGTAATTATTATGGATTTTAACATTTTTTATTAAAATCGTGACATGATATAAAGATGCAATTAAAACATATGTAAATATAATAGAAATCTGAAACCTTCTACTCAAAAAGTACTCGGATTTTGTAAATAGAACACACAAATTTAAATTTATTCCAAATTTATTTTATCTCTTTCAAAATACATTAAGACTGAAAAGTTTTCGGAAATTCTCATTTAAAATTCGCGCGCTGTATATTTTTCGATATTTTAAGTTTATGTAGTTTGGCAGCACTGTCCTTAATTACTATGCCAAAAATGAGCTCGATCTGTCAGACAGTTCGTTTACGGCAGCTGTTGAAACCAGTTCACCTCAGTAGTGCGTTGCGAAATGTCTTCGACGGTCGTACGACCGTCCTGGAAGGCTTTGTACCACTCATAAACTTGAGTTTTCGATAAAACTGATTCCCCATAAGCCTTTTGTAGCATTCGCAACGATTCTGCACACGAAATTTCGTTCGAAACACAAAATTTGATGCAAACTCTTTGTTCAATATTTTTTTCCATTGTTTTTTTCGCAACGCCCTACTGAGGTGAACTGGTTTCAACAGCTGCCGTAAACGAACTGTCTGACAGATCGCGCTCATTTTTGGCATAGTAATTAAGGACAGTGCTGCCAAACTACATAAACTTAAAATATCGAAAAATATACAGCGCGCGAATTTTAAATGAGAATTTCCGAAAACTTTTCGGTCTTAATGTATGCTCCTTCTAAAGTGATACACATATGCCAACGCTTAATCTAATCTTCCATACACTTTTCGTAGGCCCGTGCAGGTATGGCTTTTAGTTCCTTTGGCGAATTCTCTTCTATCGATTCAATCGATTCAAAACGCTTACCACGAAGGGGCAATTTGAGTTTCGGGAATAGGAAAAAGTCGCACGGAAAATAGTAAAAATCGCTAAATGCACTTGAGGTAGTTTCACATTAACAGCTACTGTAAACAAACTAATTGACAGATGGCGCTCAAATTTTTACCATATGTCAAGAAAGGGTGTATCAAGATAACAAAAAAAAATTTTGAAAAAGGTCTATTACTTAAGGATAAGTTAACAAACAACAAAATCCGGATACTTTTTGAGCAGAAAGTATGTCCATTTTAAATAGGAGTTTTTAAAGAATACTTCTGTTTTTAATATTCGGATGAATCATATTGAACAAACTACATGCGGAATAGTCTGAATTAAGAGCCATATGAAAAAGTCATGACAAAGTTTGGCATAATCGATATATACAATAAGGATCATCTTGTTGATTTAATTCAAAGAAATGAACTATAAGGTAGATACCGCTAAAAAAAGAAATAGAAACTTGAATATGTGGCTTAGATTGTGAACTCCTGGGAACTTTCTGAGCAGAAAGTATAAAGTACATGGATAGCATTCAATGCATAGAGAATATAATGTGATTGTCTCCATATTTCAACCAATGACTAATTATTAGCTTTAAATATATTAAGAGGCCCATATGTTTATTATAATAAAATCAATGAGTATACTTTAATTCACCGTTTCTTTTAATAGAAATATTTATACTATACAGACTGAGTAATAAATAAAAAAGGAGAAAATGTTAATATAACATTGTCTACTACATAAAATTATATAAAAAGATTATTAAGCGGGCTTATGATGGCCATAAAGTTGTGAATAGATTAATAACGTTGTTTAGCGAAAGGTGGCTTTAAGGCTTTACAGTTCAAATTATTAAAATAAATTTCGATTAGTGACTATTTAGAAGAACTAGGTGTATATATACACCTAGTATATATACTTATCTAAACAATGCCTTAGCAGTACTTTCTGTTAAAGGCAGTTACTTTTTCACAGGTCAAGTCAGCTTACATTGTAATAAGCCAACTTAAGTACAAGTGAACTGTATACATAAGAACTATAGAAATCAAAACTCCTAAGAATCAAACTAGATTAATTGGATAATTACTCATTAATATTTATTTTTTATTACATTAAAATTAATTTAATATTATTCAGTATCTCTGAACGTAAGGATAATTAGGTATGTTAAAACCGTGAAACAAACAACGATTTGCCAAGAAGTTCCTTAAACACTCATAATAAGGACTTCTTGATGAATTTAATATTATTCAATATCTCTATACGTAAGAACAATTAGGTATGTTGAAACCAAATCAAACAATGATTTGCCAAGAAGTTCCTCAAACACTCATAATAAGGACTTTTTGATGAGTTCTTTATTTCTTCTTCTTGTTCTTGAGTTAATGCTATTATGCACTTTTACTCTATAATGGCTGGGGGGCTTATTACTACCCCACACTAGGCTTTAACTAGGCTAAGAAATCATATCATTTAATTGTCTTTTAGTTGATGACGGACCTTAAATCACCATATCTTCCTGAGAGTCCAGAAGTGGACTTGAGGGTTGTTAAAGGCGGGGTTAAGTAGCGTATCAACTTCAGTGAATAATTTTAGAGCTCTGTCTCTGATATATTTTTTCACTGAGTCAATCCTAAGATCTCTATGTATGTCTGTTGATCTAATATACCATGGAATCTTAAACAGTCTGTAATTGCTTTATGGTAGTATTTGAGGCTTTGCTATATGTAACACATCCGTACAGTAGTGCTGGTCTAATTACTTGCGTATAAAGTAACTTTCTATTTTTAAAGTTGAAGTGATAATTATTAAATAGCGGCTTTAATAAATGTAGAATCTTAGAGCAGCTATTCCGTTCTTTATTTAATCCACTTAATTCGAAAGAGTGAACAAGAGTGCATTTATTAAAGAGAAATATATATATATATATATAATTAGCATTACTTTATTTTTATTTTTTTTTTGTACATTAAACAATAATGAAAACATCGAAATTTAGCTGCTGCTCCGAATAGAGTGTTCACGTCATCTTATAACGTCTGCCTTAAAATGTTTACATTATAATTATTTACTAACTTACTAATTATAATTACCCAAAATGAATTCTAAACCGTAGATTCTTCAGGGTAAAAAAGTCACCTGAACGCTATGATGTACAATTTTCAAAAAGTCAAGTTGTATGATTACCTACTTTTAGCTCAGGAATAATTCAAATTTGTGATATTGTCATGCAGTTTTCAATCATCACATACTCGGATCTACAAGTTAGTTCCAGATTCAATGGAAAAATGTTTAGTTCATCGGCTTTGAAGAAACTAATGATGTAGCAGTATTGGGAATAGCAGGATCCGTGGTGCAATTCAATATTATTAACTATAAAGACTAAATGATGATTACTTAATATTTAATAAGATGAAAAGTACTGAAACTATTCATTCTAATTTTTTAATAGTTCGTTAAGTCTAGATACATTTTTAGTGGAGATAGGAAGGAGGAACTGACTTCACAATAATAGTTTTAAACAAGCAATACGAACTCCAAAAATTTATAAATTTAGATTACAATCATAATCATAATTGTAATCAATAGTATTATTAGTATATTGATTTTAGTAGAGTCTTCTAGGTCAAAATGCCTATTTTTCAAAAAGTTGTTAAATCACTAAAAAATATGTAATCACAACTTAAACAATCAAAGCTGTGAACTCAACGATTATTGTTACGGGATGTGGCATTGCGACCGTCGGGTCTATGTAGAGGCACACTACATTCAATGATAGTAAATAAAAATTTATTCGTCAAATACCAAACATTTCATGCAAAATATATTTAATTGTTCATCAATGCAAAATACATATAATCACGATATTAGGGCACAGCGATTTGAAGGAACACTCAAATTCAATCGGACAAACAACGAGATGGTCCTACTTTGACTACCTGTGTAATCAAAAATCTATACTAAACGAAAGAGATGAGCGGTAGAATTAAAGAACGGAATGTTCACATACGAACCTTATGTTTCAAAAATGATAGTCATTAAGTCTGTTCTTATGCTATTCTTTGCAAAAAGTTGGAATACGATACGGAGATGGTGTCTGTTTTCGGTGACCAGTAAGAGTATGAAATATTGAAGATGGTATTAATTATAATACTAAGATAAATTTCGCAAGTATCACAAGTATATTTCAATGCACTAATGATTACAAACAAATTACAAACAAGGTGAACAAATTCCCCAGAACCTAATACAGAGGGAAGAAGAGGTAGTCTATATATGAATATATTCGATGAGATCGGATATCTATAATTTTAACTTGGATAATGTGATCCACAAAAGTCTATTCAAGGATCAAAAACAGAAAAATAAGTTTTCAGAGTAGGAAAAATATTCTATATCTCATGGTGATAGTAATAAATGATTGTTGTTATAGTGGCTATTTAGAGTTCTATAAATTCTGTCATCTACTAACGGGATTTTCTTCTAGCAGACATCACGTGATCTATCTATCTAAACAAAATCTTATGGCAAGCCATACAGATGTATATTCACATAGACGGATGCTTGTATAAAGCAAATAAATATCTTACCTTTGCTATTTGTCTACCATAAGGTTTTCATTAGGTTTTTACAAATACTCTATTTTTAATTTGGGTTTCTGAAATTAGAATAGATTAGCACAATCATAAGGTATTTATAGAATGGCTAAACTTACTACATCTTCGTTCTCAAATCATTACACATTTTCGCAGAGAAGTTTTAGAAACTCTTCGGAGTGACATCGAATAAAATGAATAAGACCAGGATATGTTTCTAAAACTTTAGGCATTAATTCTGCTAATGATTTTGGATGACGTACAATAATATCTCTGAATTTAAGAAATTTTGCATCCTTTTTTAATATAGCGAAAGGAGAGACAACGTATTTTATAACACAGTTTCGTTGTTTTGGATGAGTTGCGAAATCATATAAACATGTTTCAGAAGCAGTTGGTTTCTTTTTATTGCTCGTAACATGGAACATATGGAACTGATCACAGCTCATTTTTCTTGTAAGTGGTTTGTGGTTGAAATCATAATGTAAATTATTTCTATGTGTTGTCCTTTCTGATAAGATATTATTTAAAAACACGTGTAACTCTTCCATTACATTAGAATTCAACTTTCCAATAAAGTTACATTTATTAAGTGGTGATGTTGGTTGTGGTAAAGAACTCGATTTCTCTTTAAAGTAGAGGCATCTACTGTTTCTTCCAAAACATGTTGGAATTACACCACTAAGTTTTCCAATTTTCTTTACCTCAAATAATCTGCTCTCATTTGTATCAGTTCTGGAGCAGTACATTTTAATTCCCCATAAGTCATCATCTTTAGTGATAGCAATGAATATAAATTTTTTTTCATTAAGTCTTATTTTTAAGTTTATCGACATCTCTGAATGTTGTTAAATGCCTTGAATGAAAGAGAGATACATTAGATATTCTTGTAAATTAATTTCAATTAAAATATAAAAATTTTTATATTAACATGCAATTTCACAATTTAAATTTGACCGATATGTATGGGAAGAATCAACAGCTCTTCCCAAGACCACTTATGTTAACTACTCTAGAACGAAAAATATAGTCAAGAAGGATAAGGATAATATATTGGTAATGAAAATGTTGGTATGTATAAACTCCGACCCACCATAAATAAGCAAATGGGTAAAATTCCATTCGTAGATATTTTTAGGTAGGTTCTGCGATGAATCTGTTTTTTGGTAAACAAAATTTTACTGATAGATAATTAAAATTGGATAATTACTTAATATTTAGTTTTAATTACATTGAAATTAATTTAACATTATTCGGTATCTATACCTAAGGTATGTTAAGTGTATGCAATAAACTATGATTTGCCAAGGAGCTCCTCAAACACTCATAATAAGGACTTCTTGATGAGTTCTTTATTTGGTCCTCTTCGTATTAAGAGTGAATATGAATAAAATAAGCTATTCGAAAATTTGTTGTATTTGATTCAAATGTTTAAAAGAATTACTTGTTTTATCATGATTGTGACCTGATTCATGTGAGTAGAAATATAATACAGTAATCCATTTCAGCTACACTTAGAAATATATATATATAAACATCATTACTGTCTGGATGATAGTAGTCCAGATAAATAGGTTGTTGTTTTGAAAACTCAATTCACGAGATATCATCTACCATCTGTATTACATAGAGAACGAATATTTAAAAAGTCATTTAAGTAATATTTTGAAAACGAAATTGTATATATATAGATGACTTAATGCCCCATATAGAACTTAATATAATATAAGTTTCGGTCACTAAAAACAAACTTCACCACTTTGTTTTCAGTCGTATACCTTTCACTTATATTGAAAATTTTGATCCTTCCTTTTTTGCGCTAATCGTTATAATTTGGAATGAGGGAATAATATGAGTTTCGACAATATCAAACAACATCTATGATTGCTGGGTCGTAATCATTCCAAAATTTCGATTATACATAAACCTTTTGATTATATATGTAAAAATATTATACATCTATATATATATATATATATATATACATATATAAGTGGTGTGATTCCAACGTGTTTTGGAAGAAAATATTATATATATATATATATATGTACGAATATTAATGTCAACTAAGAAGTCATAACATCAAATTTTGCTTATTTAGTTAATTATTAGAGCAAGATATGAATATTAAATTTTAAATAATAAATAAAAAAAATAATATTTCTAGAAATCAAAAGTATGTAGACTTACATTTGATTGTACCCGTTTTTACTTAGAGAACAGACTATAAATTAAACATAAAAACATTATATTCATTCATAACCTACAGAAAATGTTTGAAAAGTTACCTACAGCGCAGAAATTCGGTACTATAACACAGATCAAAATTTAGTTTAAAAAATTTCCGAAACTCTCTTAATTCTAAATGATTATGAATAAAATAAAATATAATTTGATTTGTTATATCCAAACATTTTAAAAATCAAAGTTTGCTTGGACTAAAAAGTTATTACGAATCAGTCGTCATACACACAAATCCTTCAAAATTATTTTTTAAGTTAAATTCCTCTATTAAATTAGGTAAATTTCATTTGAAAATAAATATTTTTCACTAGTATTTAAATCTCTTTACTTATACTTTATTGTTATACGATTTGCAAACTATTAATGTGGTACTCAAATTCAAAACCTTAAACCTCTCCTCCGACTTCAATCATACTGAAACAACCTTGAGCCACCTCAAGTAAATAATAGGCACAGTTAGGTCGATACTCAAAGCGATCACAATTGCCTTTTTCATTATACCTAAGCATCAAAGCACAACTTCTTAAAGTTAATATATTTTTATTAGAATTATCTGCTATTCATACTATTCTACTGCATTAGTGTAGATTATGATATTTCTTCATGATCTTTATACGCCCAAGTCTTTTCTTATGCATTCATGCGTTTCAGAAATGTTTAGTCCACAGTCGACAGTCTACAATACCCTATGCAGTTCCAATTGATACTATTTTATAACCCATTCAAGTAACTATTAAAAGCAAACCGTTCTCCAAATGGCGCAAGAACACGAAATGACCACTGTCATCTATATTCGTAATGGGAGAACACATTCTATTCAAGTATCTCTAGTGTTCATCGTTGTTCATGATTAATTCCGGATGCTTTAAGACACAATATTTTACTAACGTTAACTTATGATATATAAATATGTAATAGATGATGTATTAAGATTGAGTTTGAAGTTGTAGTTCTGCTGTTATTAAATAGATGGTGCCCCGCAAAGTTTTTAAGAAACTTGGTGTACAAACAACAGTTTTAACATATTTCCTTTAATATACAGAATTCAGTGTAGGCCTTCACTAATAATGGTGAATATGTTCTATAAAGTTGAATAGATCATGGAGAACATAGAAAGTAGTTAGAAATCAGGTATAGGTACTCTGTCAATCTAATCAAAATCGCTGCTCACAAAGAAAACCATATATTTTTATTTTTTAAAAAATATATTTTTTCTCTAAATCTAAATGTCAAAATATAAGGCTTCTAAAAATTATAATCAAAATTTAACAAATCTGGCCATGAAATTTAAATAATTTTGATATCCCAAATAGATTTTTTAGTTTTTCATAAATTTTTTTGGCCTAGACATTGTATACAAAATTGATTAGGTTAAGAGTTTAGGTTAAGTATGTAGACATGTAGGTTAGGAAGTTAGTTTAATTTAATCAAAATTTAAAATATACATGCAAATTAATCAAAATGTTCATTACGAATTTTCACTCATTTTGATGAAAATGAATGTCAAAATTCAATTGCTTCATAACAGCTCTAAAGTTATGGTAAGTCCGAATTCTCATTCTATGAACGTCAATCGATCTGGTTTTTCTTTCAGTAAATCAGTAAATCAAGAAGGAGGAGACCAAAAGATTATAAAAATTTATACATCAGCATTGTATGAGTAAGTCGGTAAGTTACCAATAATAATTTCAATAATTATAAATAATAAAATTCAATTATTCCATGATGAATATTTACATTTCTCTTCAAATTGTTTTATGCCAGGCGGTTCATTTCTTCACGGACTTATCTTTTTCACGCAGCTAGATAATATGCTTGGTGTCTAATTTGGTGCTCTCATTTGATTGAAAAAGTTGTATACTATATAACGTTAAGACATTAAGGTAAGATTAATTCATTTCATTCCTATGATTAATTTTTTGTCTATCTGCAATCTAATTATTGTACAAGACTCTGTTGGACGTTAACGATTTTTGAAGCGTTGAAATGTATAACAGATTTTTATAAACTCTACCGTTCTGAGTATTTTTTTCTTCTGATCTATATGTCAACATAACATATAGTAACTTATATAGTTGCTCATCGAGGCAAAGTTAAAAATTAACATACAAACAATAGTGGACACGGAAATTAGCAATAGCGATAAATTTACAACTTTAAAATCCGGTATCTCAAGAGTCAAATAGCATTAATATATATATAGTCGTAGCTTAGAGGAAATAAAATAATTCGTCTAAACGATGAACTTTTTAAAAATCCATAATCAATATATATATATACAGATATTATAGAATTTAAAATATATCATAATATGCGTTTCTTCTCTATTAGATGTCCATCATTTGATCTTAATACTTAGAGATATTAAGAAAAGAGGTATAGTATATTCAATAAAGAACATATAACTTAATATATTCTTTTTGTCTAACAATTTAGTAAAAATTATTTGCTCATTCTCACCTACCAGACGTGACAAAAATTGATTAGATATACCAATGAACTTGTCGAAATGTCCAAAATTCCATCTTGGTACACCACCTGATACTAAAAGTACTATATTGTTTAACTGAAAACGTAAACCTGTTACTGGTCCTATGGAGGTACACTGCAAACTGTTCTGACATGGTTCGCGTTCTTTAAATCGTAAGTAAACTTTTAATTTTTAATTTTAGTCGTTAACTAATAAATTGATTTTATAATTTAGGTTGAAGAATCGAAGTATCGTTTGTTGTCCAAGCCAGGTATCCCATGTGCGTAAGTGATTTCGGTTTAATTTTCAATAAGATATTTACTTATATTTGTGTTTATAGGATACAAGGTGGAGTTATTGGACCACTAACCAGATGTGATGATGTATTAGTATTAAGTATTTATTTAGATATAAGATAGTTTTAGGAAAAAAAAATTTTTGAATAAAAAATTTAATGTGAAATAATGTTTTATATTTAGTTAAAAAACAAAAGTATAAAATGCATTTCATTCTTAAGACTAGTTCTAAAAACTAATTTTCATACAAATATATAATATATATATAATATAACGAAAGACATGTCTTTGATGCCGTTTGCCTAAAAGGTAACTACCTATATTGTATTGTCAGCTTTTAATTCTCTTTTATTATCAGTAAAAATTTTTAAATAATATTTATACATCGTCGAAGCAACCAGGTATCTGCCGGGTCACGAAACTCAGCTACCATGACAAAAGTGAGAAAAAGAGGTTACCGCTTATACTCGGTTGCAACGCCAACGAACACAACGAAGATCAAGTCCAACAAACGGGATGAGTACCTATTAGAATTTATAGTAAGAAATAAATTAGAAATTTTGAACATAGGGAACACACCAAGCTTTTTAACTAGCCTACGTGAAGAGGTTTTAGACCTAAGTCTGAAAATAGTGTAGGTGGCGAACTAGTTAAGAACTGGATTGTTTCTAATGAACCGTTGATGTCAGGCCACAAAATTCTTAGATTTGACATTAAAGGAGCACCCCACATCAATAGAATAATTAGGAATAGTACATTCACACTGTCTTATATAGGCACTTGCTCATTTATATTAATAAGTGAGCGTTGACATTATAATGAGCTCATTTCTGCAGCTGATAGAGTTTTTATAAACTTCACTTAATAATATATCATAAAAAAAAATTAAATATATAATTGATATATTAAATCAATGATATATATTTTATATATTAACTACATATTTAATTTATAAAAACAAAAATTTTATTAAATACTTACTTCCCCAGTGCTTCTGTTTAGAGCTCATCTGTTGTTTGTTCTCATTTTGCATATAAAACATGTTGGACAAATATTTGAACATTTGGTAATTTCCCTTGTGGGATTTATTTATAAGTATTACATACGACATTTTTGGCCGTAAATGAGCTGATTTACTGATAATGAGTTCATTTATATGAAAGATTTTTAATAGGTAAATCATCCTCATTAGTGGATATAATGAGCAAAACAGCACAATGAGACAGTATATTTATAACATACTTATAACATATTCATATATTTCTTATTATTTTAATTTGTAATTTAATTTAATTTCTATGATTAACACTTTAATTAATAATAAAAACAAGAAGCGCATAAAAAATATTATATATAATAAATACGATATGTAGTTCTTTTATTAACGAATCGTGTCTTTCAAAAAATTAAAAATTTTATCTTTTATAAGAAGGAGTCTTCGAAAATGTTTGTCAGTGTAAAAGGACTTTAACAAAAAAGAATTATACCACTTTGCTTATAATAGGAAATAATAACCATAATAATAATATCTTGGGCTTTTTACTTCGGTATAAATATTAAAAAATTATATACGATATTGAATAAAAGAATTGCTATGAAATCGTTATTTCACAGATTTTGACAGATCTAGCCTAAATTTTGATGAATATTTCATCAAAATATACAATGAAATACTTAGATTATATTTTACAAATTATGAATGACTGCTGTAAAAGTTATCATACAGAATCGGGACTTGTGAAGAAATGTATGAATTCTAATATAACAACAAAGATGCAGAATGGTTAATGTATTTACAAAATGTGAATTTTCTGTGGCTGTTAACTCTATATATGTATATGGACAGACTTTTTAATAATAATAGACCGTTCAGTCTGTTATTGATGTTTCAAAAGAAACAGATAAAAGAATTAGCCAGGCGTTGAAATAATGTAGCAGTGTTGGGAAGGACAGGATCCGTTGTGGAATTCAATATTGGTCTAGACATGTTTTTAGCGGAGATAAGCAGGAGGAACTGAGTTCGCAATAATAGTTTTAATCTAGCAATACGAACTTCAAAAATTTATAAATTTAGATTACAATCATAATCATAATTGTAATCAATAGTACTATTAGTATATTGATTTTAGTAGAGTCTTCCAGGTCAAAATGCCTATTTTTCAAAAAGTTGTAGAATCACTAAAAAAATATGTGATCACAACTTAAACAATCAAAGCTGTGAACTCAACGATTATTGTTACGGGATGTGGCATTGCGACCGACGGGTCTATGTAGAGGCTAGAGGCACACTACATTCGACGATAGTAAATAAAAATTTATTCGTCAAATTCCAAATATTTCCTAATAATGTTGTTTATTGATTCTAAACTAGATGGTGCTACTTTGACTATCTGTATAATCTGTATAATCAGAAATCTGTATTAAAGGAAAAAGATGAGCGGTAGAATCGAAGAACGAAATGTTCACATACGAAACTCATGTTTCAAAAATAATGCTACGAAGTTTTTTTTCATCTTTTACTTTCGATCGAAAATAGAAATGTCATATTGTAATGACACTTTCCACGTGGTATTTGTTATTTGCTGGGGTATCTCCAGCCTCACCAAGATTATAACAATAAATTTGAAAATTGTGACCAAAATATTCAAAGTCTTGATTCGAGTTTTTTTTATACTCTATTGTTAAGTATAGTTAATTCAAAATTTACAATTTAAAAGGATATATATAAAAATTTAAAGAAAAATATATATTAAAAAGGATTTTATTTGTGGATGATAGACTTGTCTTCTAAGGAATTCTTAGTATGAGTTTGCTTGAATTTCTCCGGGATATATTTCATTATTTGTGTTTATTGTTTAGCTATGAGGATTTTGTTTAAAATGCATTTAATAGAGGATATATTTTATGTGTTATAGGGAATTACTTTAGACACAGTCTGGTAGTCTTGGTAATTCGATATAATTTTTTGTTTGAATACTTCGTCTATCGAAAATATACTTTTATATATTAGACGAAATAACATAGAAGACATAGTAGACGTGATACCACCTGTTGTGATTTGATAATTTAATGCAAGTCTTCCTTTGTTTGAATACTTCTGTTGCGAGGGTCACCATTTATTATTTGAGCCTAATAATGAAAAAATTATAGAATTCAAAATATATCATAATATTCGTTTCATAGAGAACATAAAAAGTAGTGCGAAATTAGGTATAGGTATTCTGTCAATCTAATCAAAATTCATACAAACTCATCCAATGGTGCCAACCGCTGCTCACAAAGAAAACTATATATTTTTATTTTTTTAAAAAAATATTTTTTCTCCAAATCTAAATGTCAAAATATAAAGCTTTTAAAAATTATAATCAAAATTTAACAAATCTGGCCATGAAATTTAAATAATTTTGATATCCCCAATAAATTTTTTAGTTTTTCATAAACTTTTTTGGCTTAGACATTGTATACAAAATTGATTAGGTTAAGAGTTTAGGTTAAGTAGGTAGACATGTAGGTTAGGAAGTTAGTTTAATTTAATCAAAATTTAAAATATACATGCAAATTATTCAAAATGTTCATTACGAATTTTCACTCATTTTGATGAAAATGAATGTCAAAATTCAATTGCTTCATAACAGCTCTAAAGTTATGGTAAGTCCGAATTCTCATTCTATGAACGTCAATCGATCTGGTTTTTCTTACAGTAAATCAGTAAATCAAGAAGGAGGAGACCAAAAGATTATAAAAATTTATACATCAGCATTGTATGAGTAAGTCGGTAAGTTACCAATAATAATTTCAATAATTATAAATAATAAAATTCAATTATTCCATGATGAATATTTACATTTCTCTTCAAATTGTTTTATGCCAGGCGGTTCATTTCTTCACGGACTTATCTTTTTCACGCAGCTAGATAATATGCTTGGTGTCTAATTTGGTGCTCTCATTTGATTGAAAAAGTTGTATACTATATAACGTTAAGACATTAAGGTAAGATTAATTCATTTCATTCCTACGATTAATTTTTTGTCCATCTGCAATCTAATTATGGAACAAGACTCTGTTGGACGTTAAAGATTTTTGAAGCGTTGAAATGTATAACAGATTTTTATAAACTCTACCATTCTGAGTATTTTTTTCTTCTGATCTATATGTCAACATAACATATAGTAACTTATATAGTTGCTCATTGAGGCAAAGTTAAAAATTAACACACAAACAATAGTGGACACGGCATTTAGCAATAGCGATAAATTTACAACTTTAAAATCCGGTATCTCAAGAGTCAAATAGCATTAATATATATATAGTCGTAGCTTAGAGGAAATAAGATAGTTCTTCTAAAGGATGAACTTTTTAAAAAAACCAAAATCAATATATATATATACAGATATTATAGAATTTAAAATATATCATAATATGCGTTTCTTTTCTATTAGATGTCCATCATTTGATCCAAATACTTGGAGATATTAAGGAAAGAGGTATAGTATATTCAATAAAGAACAGTTTATTAAATAAAATCAGAGTCTCTAACTTCTTAATATATTCTTTTTGTCTAACAATTTAGCAAAAATTATTTGCTCTTTCTCACCTACCAGACGCGACAAAAATTGATTAGATATACCAATGAACTTGTCGAAGGGTCCAAAATCCCACCTTGGTGTCAGATGAGGTACCCTGATACTAAAAGTACTATATTTTTCAACTGAAAATGTGAACCTATTACTGGTCCTATGGAGGTACACTGCAAACAATTCTGAAATGGTTCGCGTTCTTTAAATCGTAAGTAAACATTTAATTTTTAATTTTAGTCGTTAACTAATAAATTGATTTTATGATTTAGGTTGAAGAATCAGGAGAGTATCGTCTGGTTTCCAAACCAGGTATCCCATGTGCGTAAGTGATTTCGGTTTAATTTTCAATAAGATATTTACTTATATTTGTGTTTATAGGATACAAGGTGGAGTTATTGGACCACTAACCAGATGTGATGATGTATTAGTATTAAGTATTTATTTAGATATAAGATAGTTTAAGGAAAAAAAATTTTTGAATAAAAAATTTAATGTGAAATTATGTTTTATATTTAGTTAAAAAAGAAAAGTATAAAATGCATTTTATTCTTAAGACTAATTCAAAAACTAATTTTCATACAAATATATAAGCTACGAACTAAAGGCATGGCTTTAATGCAATAGAGATGTTCTCGCGCTCTTGCAATTTTAGTATATCATTCCTGCATTTCGTGCATCTCGCAATGACTTTGCAAGACAGAGTGAATATCCCTATTGTAACATATTAAATTAAATACTGGACGTAGTACTGCATACTGTAAAGAAATATATGGCGCCCTCTGCTACCAATTACTTTGTCATACATCGATATTGTTACAGAAATTTTTAAGAATAACCTTTTTAGCGCTATAAGCTTGCACTTTTGCTTGCTTTGGTGCTACAAGCAAACTATAAACTAACAAAGGTGTTACAATGTAAAAAATTGTATGATGTTGTCGAGCGAGGATGTGAGCGAGTTCGTTTTACAACATATATATATATGATCTGATTTGAACACAGAATACTTAATGTGAATTCAATTAATGTAAATAATTGAAATAATTTTAATATAATACTTACTTTACTACTATATGGAGTTAAGGATTGTTTATTCTTGGCATCGATGTAATGATTAATAATTATTGTCTCAAATTAATACGTTATAAATTAATTAACAACTACAAAAATGCTTATTGGAATTTTTAGGAATATAAAATATTCTTAAATTTTAAAGAATACATGCTTTATATATAATATTATATAAATTTGAAATTTATTCAGGTATTCACTAAGAATAAATAATTAAATGTGATTATTACATACTCAGATTACTCAGATTTAACCAAGTTGAGCTATCTTATTAGCAATAATTGGTTCAAAAAAAACAACTTAATTTTTAAATTAACTTATTTTTTTTAGAATATTTGCAAATAATTTCTTCATTCATAATTTGTTGTTATATTGGATCGCAACAAAATAGCCATTCAGTATTTGACGGCTTTGAAATACACAATAAATATACTAACCAGTACTTCTGAGAAGGCTAGTTCTTTATGATATTAAATTATTTGAAAGAAATGATGGTTTAAAGAATCGTAAATCAAATTAATTGTGCATAATTCTATATATTGTAAACGCGACTAAAGACAGCAGTCATTAAAAAACGTGGTACAAAAAGCAAAAAAAGTACAAAAATGAAAAACATATAGATACACTCGTACAAAAAGCAAAACAAAAGTGATGAACAACATAACGAACATTTGAAAATTAAAAAGAATTTAACAAGCAATAAACACACTTGCACTAAACAGTTAACACTTCGTTCAATAATGTGTGTGACTAACTAATTAAAACACATTTTTTTGCCAAAATTCGTTTTTATTCATCAACATAGTCCCCTTTTAGGGAGATACAATCATTCCAACGCTTTTGCAATCTTTCGAAACCGCCTTTGTAAAACGATTTTTCTTTGCCTTCAAAATAGGCGTTAGTTTTGGCGATTACTTCATCATTTGTGCCAAATCTCTTACCACGGAGCATCTTTTTGAGGTCTGCGAAGAGCCAGTAGTCGCTGGAGGCCAGATCTGGAGAATACGGTGGATGCGGCAGCAATTCGTAGCTCAATTCGTTCAATTTTGCCATCGTTTTCATCGACTTGTGGCATGGTGCATTGGCTTGGTGAAACAAAACTGTTTTCTTCGCCATATGAAGCCGTTTCTTTGCGATTTCGTCTTTCAAACGCTCCAATAACGCTATATAATAGTCGCTGTTGATGGTCTTCCCCTTCTGGAGATAGTCGATGAATATTATTCCATGCGCATCCCAAAACACAGACGCCATAACCTTGTCAGCCAACTGCTGCGTCTTTGGTCGCTTTGGGCGGCTTTAATCGGCTGCATGTAACTCAGCAGACTGTCGATTTGACTCTGGAGTGAAATGGTGGATCCATGTTTCATCCATCAACATGTCCAAACATGTTAAGAACAACACTTTGAGTTTATTAGCTTCCATATTAACATTTATTAGGGGACTTCTACATTCCATTACCAACAGAACTTACTTTGTTAGAACATAAAAAAAACTATTTACAAAGATATTGGTTAAAAGCGTAATGCCTTAATGTGGTTTCAAACATATAATTTGTAAAAAATATGATAGTGAGCAGTGCCGTACGTTTATAGCCCAGCAATAGATTTCTGCAGTAAGTTGAACGTTATTTGAAGTGTTTCACGCAGTGCATCTAAGGTCGATATCGATATCTCCAAAATCTTTTCTATGCTATAATTCACAAAACACTAATTTCAACATCTCAGCGTACTTGAGCGATTGTGCAGTGAATATCCTACCCTTGTAGTTTGTGGAGTACGAAAATGTTTTCCTTTCGATACTCTAGTATAATCCTTAAATTTGAAATCATTGTGTCATTGTGTCATTGTGAGATATATCAACATCAGTATGTGGTATTTGATAGTGTATTTTGTGCTAGACATTTATTTATTTTGCGTTGAATCAATTATCTTCAATTTCGGTTGCAATTCTTCCCAATAAAGATTATAATTACTTAAAAACTTCTGGTTTTTGTATTTAATAGATTTTATGGTGCTATCAGGATCTTGTTGTTTTCTGTGCTTAATGCTTCTGTAAAAGCTAACAAACCATTTACCAGAAGAATAATAAATAATTTCAATATAGCTTATAATACTAAAACCGTATATTAAGGATAATATACCGCCATACCGATCTAAAATAAAAATAAGTGTATAATATGTAGATATTATTTAATAGATATTACTAATTAATAACTTACTTAATAAAACAACCCAATCGCTAACAACAGTCGTTTCAGTTGCCTGGGCATAACGTTTCGCAAAAAATAATTTAATGACTGCTAGCGGTTGATCGTTTGTTAGTCCCTCTCTATTAAAACGAGATTAGATTATAATAGAAGTTTTTAAGTGAATTTAAATTCTATATAATGCTTACAGTATACCATGACTATAATAATCGCCAGAATTGCTTATAACATTTCGAAGTGGCAAATCATTTACGCTGATTTTAAATTTCACACCACTACAAGTGGGTAAACAAAAACCACAGTTTTCAAACTCAAATAGTTCCTTTGAGTTCTGCTGTTTATTAACATAATCAAAACTTTTCCAGCCATACCAGACACTTTTCCACCTTGTCAGACATGGAAGGTCAAGTAAATTGCAAATGCTTCCGTTTATGAGATCACTTGGCCATGGTGGATTAACACAACCGCAGTACTTGATCATACTTCGCATACGACATAACATCAGGCATTCATCCAATGAATAATATGTCCTGCAAGAATGATTTTTAAATTCATTTCATTAAATATTCATTTAAATTGAATAACTTAAATCGCAAATAACAGTTTTCAGCAATCGCCAGAATAACTGTGTAGTGAATAGCTATATTTTATTATTACAACATAAGTATGTTAATCATATTAAGAATATTTTACGACATCATTTCATATCATACGTAAACTCCTGAATAACAAGTTTATACATTAATTTTTCCAAGTTTACTAATGCCATCATAGTACATCTATCACTTCAAGTAATAAAGAGGTACACAGAGACAAGTTATTTGGGGTTATGTTATACAAACAGTCATATGATGAATGGTCACGACAATTTTACGTTATATTTGGTAATGACCAAAAAACATGTTTTACATGAAGTCATATCATAATATTGACAATCTTATTTATACTACTATGGGAAAAACTGCTTCCATTTTTTAGGCAGAGGTCCATGCCTTAGAGCTATGCGCAAGAGAATGCATACGAAGGGGCACCCGAGGTATCAAAATGTGCATCCTGTCAGACAGCCAAGCAGCTCTAAAATCTTTAGCAAAATCCTTATTCCAATCAAAGTTGGTCTGGGAATGCTTTCAACTTCTCAACACCCTAGCATCGAGGAACTATGTTACTCTTATGTGGGTACCGGGACACGAAGGGCATGAGGGCAATGAAATAGCAGACTCCCTAGCAAAGAAGGGTGCATGTACTCCTTTCATTGGTCCAGAGCATCATCTACTTGAACACTGGAGAGCCCAAACAGGCATGCGACAGTCAAAAAGATTCATTGATCCTGATCACATCAAAGTTGATGCTATCCTTGGCCTTAGCAGAAACGATATTAAAATCTACACTGAACTTCTTACAGAACACTGTAGACTTAATTAGCATATGAAGATTATAGGTGTGGTAGAAAGTGACTCCTGTTGACTCTGTCATGAGGAGAAGGAAACATCAGAACATGTTCTATGCAAGTGCCCAGCGGTTGCAAGACGTAGACTCGATTACCTTGGAAGCGGGATATTAGTCCCAAGTCAAAAAGGTAAAATTAAGCCCACAGCAGTTACAAGATTTATAAATAGTCTAAAATTGTCCTAGTTGGATCTTTAGGAGCACAATAGATCTTTTAGGTCGGGGTGCTTTAATAGCCTATTACTTAAATAAATAAATAATATTACTATTTTGACACATTTTTGGTTGACACATTTTTGTTGTTATTATTGTATTTCTTATACGGTTTATAATTCTTTTAATTTTCCGCTATAAATATTTACTTTATATATTTTGTTAGTTCCCTGAAGATGACTATCAAAGATAGTCAAATATTACAATATCACTTTAATAAAATATATTTATTTTAAATGTAAATAATAAATTATAGTTTTTAATTAAATATAAAATATATATATATATATATATATTAATTAAATGTAAATATATGTATATAATTATATACATATATAACATTGTTAAAACAATGCATTATGCCTAATATGGAAAATAATATTTTCTTATCATTTTATTAATAATAAGGTGATCATTATTTATTATTTTACGCGATTTCTTTCTAAATAAATTTATCTTCACCCAAATGTTCATGCTCAATATGAACATAAATATATAAGGCTTAGTTATTCCCTCCACTACTTGAGAAATGCAGTATTAATTAATTTAGTTCTTATTTATATTTAAATTCTTAAGTTCTAATTTATATAAAATTTAGTAACTTTACCGATTTATGATTTTTTGTCCCTCATCCTGAAAATAACATTGCCTTATTTGTGGTGAAAATTTTCGTATATTTTGGTTGGACTCTAAAAATATAGGTACTATTGGTATTTCCACAATAGAGTTATCAGTCACCATGACTTCGCCATTCGTATTTGACTGTATGAAAAAGTCATCCGTTGGAAATACATATAGCTAAAATAAAGTTAAGAAGATATTGTCTTTTAAAGTGCTACGAGTATTGACTTTAAACTGTTTGTACATTTGTTCAAAGTTATATATAGATATGGTATATGATGTGAAAATAATATAACTACCTGAAATCCACTATTTGATAATTCAGTGTAAGTGTATTCATTTCGTTTGTTTTGTAATACAAATTGCACGCTATTTAGTACGGAATTAGATTCAAATTTTATAGTTCTTTCATTCTTCGAGACATTAACTTCGCGCGTTCTAGAAATAAAACTATTCATTGTTATATATTCTTATATTATTTATGTATATTGCATATTTGAGACTTACGCATAACCATCTCTGCGATAATTAAACATACAACAAATACTTGACGGTGTTATGCGTTTAAAAAAAAATCCATTTGGTGAAACTGGAGTACCAAAAAGTAATCCTCTAATCACTGTTTCCTTACAGTCTGGTGCTAATTCGCGTAATATGTTTTCAGACTGATAATTTGTGGTGTTGTACATAATGGTGAGTATATCATGCAATCTTTGCAAACGCAGATCATCAAATTGAAAATTATCATAGGGATGTGCAAAAAATCCAGTTAACAACATGACATGCTCAGCCATCTCGTTCTTGTCCTTCGCCAGCCAACCCGGTTTATAGCTTTGTTGTATAGAAAATCTAAAAGAGTTGGGTAGATATATATAATAATACGAGGAAGGGCCCTATGGAAATACAACAACTTCAAACTGCTATAACATAACATATTAACTGATGAAAGCACTTATTCATATCTTGCTTAATAACAGCTCATTTAAAAGTGTCTTTTCCATGGTGTAATAAAGTGCTTAATATTGTGATAGCGTTATATTGAATAGAACGAAAACCCATTAACATCGGCAAAGTCTTAGAAAGTTATAAAAAGTCAAAATTTCTCTGATGTACTAACAAAAATTGGTATTAGTAGTTTGAACAATTCCGAGCAGTTCATCATCTTCTTTGATGAGTAAGATTCAAATACTACTATTTTTGATGGTTTGGGCTGGCGTCTGAGCCTCTATTGGTATGTTTTAACCGTGGCATTAACATTAAAGCTTTTACCAAAGTAAATATTTTAGTGACCATCCACAATATTGTGTATGGTCACAAGGTACTGTCAACACAAATGAATATCAGAATTTTGATGTGCTTAAAAAACTGCTGTGGCATAAATGGATGAATATTCTGCAGATTAACTTAGTGCACCAAGGGACTTATTTGTTGACAGACTCAGTGTTATAGCATATGCTAAAAAAAAACATCGCAAAAGTTGAATGAATTTAATATATAAAACTTTTTCTACAAATTTTTTTTCTTTCCGCTCAATCAAATTCAATGTCCAAGACAAAATTAAACCAAGTGGCATGGTAGAGCTTGGTACATTAAAACCGACCTGGTTAATAGAACTAATCCACTTAATCACAGTAATGGTATTATAACAACAGTTTAGTTTGCAGTAGTAGACTCTCATGATAACGAAAACCTATCAACGATTACAATCGATTGACTTCAACAACAATCACAACAATTTCGGCTTACAATTTGAAAACGTTCCAGTGCTCCACATATGCGTAGTCACACTATCCAATTAAAGTAAAATGTATATACCAAACACTATATTGAATCCAAGTCCAACATCATATTTGTACTTTAATCCTTATTCTATAATAACATTTGCCATGTCAGATAATTGTACCAAATTAACAAAATGTGATGAAACTATGGCATAACTTCTAGGGATATTTTAGAGCATAACATGCACTGCCAATCAAGTGGTCTATTATGCCAACTTAGTCATCTTAACAGATTCTTTAACTTTTACTGATGGTAAGCATTTTATGTGGTGTTGTCTTGTTCAACGTGTTTTATGAGGCTTTGAGTTTGTTCCTATGATAGATAAGTCTGCAGCTGCTCAGTTGTGAATAATCACAGAGAATGTTTTTAGACCTTTCAACATATGGTGACCTTTGATGTGGTGTCTAAAATTGCTGTATCTTTTCAATAACAAATACTGTACTATCAAGTATATACTAGAATATTAATAAAAACTAACAAGTATGATTATATATATCAGTTGCGAGTATTATAGTTATATAATTTTTAATTTTAAATAACGTACAGTTCCTCTGCGTATTCGTATAGTTTACTTCTATTTATTTTGTTAGCACTGCATATTGCAATACCGGGGAATGGCGTATTTGCTACATGCGTCCGCTTCACCGACATATGTATCTCCGTTGGCTGTTGCATATAGTCAAGTGTTAAATTAACAATAATATAATGAGTCCAAATAATAATGAATATCATAAACAATAACCACAAAACTCTGAAATTATTGTAAATTGAATTTCCAAAACATTTGTGAGCGAAACGTTGTATTTACCTCGCAAAACGTATTGGGGTTTTTAGCATAAAAACTTTAAGACCATGTATAGCACTTTTCATAAGAAACTCATGCAGCAGTTGTTGATAAATCCGTTTAATGTGTTTTACACCCATTTCAATGGACTACTGAATATGCACTCGAATTTTTATTAAATGGATAACAATGGACTATTGATTATTGGTTATTCGATAGGCAAGATTGATGCCATAATTACCTGATTTCTAATGTGCACGAGTATTCATAATTAATAACTAAAACCAATGAATTATGACATGCAAGTGACAAGCTTAAATGACTAATCAGTCATATATTTGCATCATCTATTGATTTAAATAAGTGGTTGTCAGAATTGAAATCTATCATTAAAATTTTTAATATCATAGTTTTTAACGGCAGCAATCTATGTATTCCGTAAGCTTATAGATTATAATCTATTAAGTACATAACTTCCTGTTTTGAACTTTTTTTTTTAAAAAATAAATTTTTGTGTCTAAGAAATGATAAATTTTATTTCAATCGAAATATCTTCTTTGGCAGTAATATACAAATATATTGTTTATGTTTTGAAGCGATTCATTGATTCAATGCACTTTTTGATTTTTCGTGATATCTAAAGTATTGGTATTAAAGAGCGCTTTGTATTGATAGCAATAAGTAGCAATCTGATGAAACAGAATTTGGTGAACTGGGGACATTCAGATGAATTTGCCATTTAAATGCTACGTAGTAGCAAAACTTGACCTTAATATAGCCTCCAGTGACACACCCACCTACTGTCCCTCAGATCGGAAAAAACCCCATACGTCATTGATTTTACGGTTACAAAGACTTTGAAAATATATCAAATTGCTATTGAGTCGTCCTTAGAACACTCCTCCGATCATATGCCGACTTTTATTCTAATTGAAAATAAACTAATAGTCGAATCAAAATCCAAAAAAAAGCTCACAAAGTTTATATTTATGTATATATGTATATGTAAATATATGTCTACATTCTTCTATACATGCAATCAAAACCTGTATTTTATATATAATCAAAATATCGAAAAATTTAAAGGATTTACGGACCAGCAACCAGCAACCAGCAACAGTCGTTGTTGTTTGCACTCAGAAAAATATCCTCTAACCACGTACTAGTTAAATTGACCTGTTTATTTTGTTAGAGAAATTTTATCTCATTTGGTAAAGAAGACATGAAAACCAATATATTTTGAGATTTTTCTGAGGATTTGACAGATGTTGATTGGCATTAATATAAAAAGTGTTGATTTAGAATTCCAACACACAGTTTTAACAACTTTTCGAATACTCTACCGTATAATAATCGGTATATATCATAGAAATTATGTTCCCAAGGAAACTACCATCTGATTCCTATGAGCAATGAAGTCTACATACATTAATAAATTTTTAATTAAGTCAAATTAAATTAAATTATTAGTTAAAAATATATAGTATATAGAACACAACTTATCTGAAAGAAAACTTTTTACTTTACAAAAGAGGATGCAATTTAACTGATTCAGATGTTTTCAATTGACATCTTATATGTGCCATCCCAAAAAACCAGCAGTAATATTAAGAGTAAAACCAGCATTACCAGCATGTTTTCATATATTTTCTTTATGAATTATGTGGTGAATAGATCTATACTAAATTTTTGAACATTCTACAAATACCTTAAATCGATATTTATCTTAATCAAATTCTTCTAACATAAATATGAATAGTACTGTTAGGGATCATGTACCTTCTTTCACATTTTGAATTGTTCATATTTTATTTCATAACTAAAACATATCTTTCAGACATAAACCAAAATTTCACATAAAATTTTTTATTCAAATTTTTTTCATCCTAAAACTATCTTATATCTAAATAAATACTTAATACTAATACATCATCACATCTGGTTAGTGGTCCAATAACTCCACCTTGTATCCTATAAACACAAATATAAGATATTTAATTGAAAATTAAACCGAAATCACTTACGCACATGGGATACCTGGCTTGGAAAACAGATGATACTCTTCCGATTCTTCAACCTAAATTATAAAATCAATTTATTAGTTAACGATTAAAATTAAAAATTAAAAGTTTACTTACGATTTAAAGAACGCGAACCATTTCAGAACAGTTTCCAGTGTACCTCCATGGGACCAGTAATAGGTTTACGTTTTCAGTTGAACAATATAGTACTTTTAGTATCAGGTGGTGTACCAAAATGGAATTTTGGACATTTCGACAAGTTCATTGGTATATCTAATCAATTTTTGTCACGTCTGGTAGGTGAGAATGAGCAAATAATTTTTGCTAAATTGTTAGACAAAAAGAATATATTATGAAGTTAGAGACTCTGATTTTATTTAATAAACTGTTCTTTATTGAATATACTATACCTCTTTCCTTAATATCTCTAAGTATTTGGATCAAATGATGGACATCTAATAGAGAAGAAACGCATTTATGATATATTTTAAATTCTATAATATCTCTATATATATATATTGATTATGGTTTTTTAAAAAAGTTCATCCTTTAGAAGAACAATCTTATTTCCTCTAAGCTACGACTATATATATATTAATGCTATTTGGCTCTTAAGATACCGGATTTTAAAGTTGTAAATTTATCGCTATTGCTAATTTCCGTGTCCACTATTGTTTGTATGTTAATTTTTAACTTTGCCTCGATGAGCAACTATATAAGTTACTATATGTTATGTTGACATATAGATCAGAAGAAAAAAATACTCAGAATGGTAGAGTTTATAAAAATCTGTTATACATTTGAACGCTTCAAAAATCGTTAACGTCCAACAGAGTCTTGTACAATAATTAGATTGCAGATGGACAAAAAATTAATCGTAGGAATGAAATGAATTAATCTTACCTTAATGTCTTAACGTTATATAGTATACAACTTTTTCAATCAAATGAGAGCACCAAATTAGACAAATAATATGCGTATCTAGCTGCGTGAAAAAGATAAGTCCGTGAAGAAGTGAACCGCCTAACATAAAACAATTTGAAGAGAAATGTAAATATTCATCATGGAATAATAGAATTTCATTATTTATAATTATTGAAATTATTATTGGTAACTTACCGACTTACTCATACAATGCTGATGTATAAATTTTTATAATCTTTTGGTCTCCTCCTTCTTGATTTACTGAAAGAAAAACCAGATCAATTGACGTTCATAGAATGAGAATGAGAATTCGGACTTACCATAACTTTAGAGCTGTTATGCAAGCAATTGAATTTTGACATTCATTTTCATCAAAATGAGTGAAAATTCGTAATGAACATTTTGAATAATTTGCATGTATATTTTAAATTTTGATTAAATTAAACTAACTTCCTAACCTACATGTCTACCTACTTAACCTAAACTCTTAACCTAATCAATTTTGTATACAATGTCTAAGCCAAAAAAATTTATGAAAAACTAAAAAATCTATTTGGGATATCAAAATTATTTAAATTTCATGGCCAGATTAGTTAAATTTTGATTATAATATTTAAAAGCTTTATATTTTGACATTTAGATTTAGAGAAAAAATATTTTTTTAAAAAAATAAAAATATATGGTTTTCTTTGTGAGCAGCGGTTTTGATTAGATTGACAGAGTACCCATACCTGATTTCTAACTACTTTCTATGTTCTCCATGATCTATTCAACTTTATAGAACATATTCACCATTATTAGTGAAGGCCTACACTGAATTCTGTATATTAAGGGAAATATGTTAAAACTGTTGTTTGTACACCAAGTTTCTTAAAAACTTTGCGGGGCACCAACTATTTAATAACAGCAGAACTACAACTTCAAACTCAATCTTAATACATCATCTATTACATATTTATATATCATAAGTTAACGTTAGTAAAATATTGTGTCTTAAAGCATCCGGAATTAATCATGAACAACGATGAACACTAGAGATACTTGAATAGAATGTGTTCTCCCATTACGAACATAGATGACAGTGGTCATTTCGTGTTCTTGCGCCATTTGGAGAACGGTTTGCTTTTAATAGTTACTTGAATGGGTTATAAAATAGTATCAACTGAAACTGCATAGGGTATATGTAGACTTGCGACTGTGGACTAAACATTTCTGAAACGCAAGAACATACAAGATAAGACTTGGACATATAAAGATGATAAAAGAAATCATCAGGAGAGGTTTAAGGTTTTATATTTGAGTACTATAAATAGTTTGACATAATAAAATGATACAAATTTAAATACTAGCGAAAAATATTTATTTTGAAATGAAAATAATTTAATAGTGAAATTTAACTTAAAAAATAATTTTAAATGATTTTTGTGTATGACGAACCAGTAATAATTTTTTAGACCAACAAATTTTGATTCTTCAAATATTTGGACATACCAAACTCCTGAGCTCCTTACTGTAGATGTGAGTTGCTCCTTATCTTTTTTATATACTTACATATTGATGGATGAGAAACCTCAATTTAGGACGCCACCAGACTGCTCCAAAGGACCTAGGGGTGTCTTGTCGATCACAAAGCTGACCGATCTGACGGACCTTTGATTTCTATTAGTTTAGTAATCTTTCATGAAGCAATCCCAATATCTTAGTTTGCCAAACGAATAAACTCCAGAAAGTGTAGATGGTCGAATAGTTTGGCTATGATCTAGTAACGCTCTCTTGTTCGGCAAGGAGTCTGCTTGTCAGCAACACGTTAAATTTAGCACCTGACCTTACCTCAACAATTCTGGATAAGGCATTGTGGGATCTATATGTTTACCTTGAAAAATACCTTTAAATGTATTGTAAGTATAATGGATTGATAATAATTTTATTTTTCAAGCAAGCTTCGATTTTTGAAATATTTGGATATACCAAATCAAGTCAAATTTTTTTACAATATTAATTATTTAGTTTTAAGTTCGTTTCGGAAATTTCCTTATCTAAATTTTTACTGTGTTGTATTTTCCACTGTAAGTAACTTTTCATAGATTTTCATTAGATTGTAAATAAAAATAAAATAATGTTTTTTATTTAATTTATAGACTTTAAGTGAAATCGGTCACAAAAAATATAAATGTAAGTTTTTAAAATACTTTGATTTGTAAAAAATTTTATTTTTATTATTACTACTTTAAACTTAGTATTCGTATCTTACTCTAACTCTAAAGTTTAGTCAAGTTCAGATTCGACCAATCTATTCTAAAGCTGTACGTAGTATCGTATATAAATCAAATTATCAATTCAAATTTGAGAAATTAATCTTAGTTGCGGTGGGTTTATTGGCTCATAGGGAGAGCAATACAAACTCGGAAATAATAGGTTTTCACAACCCTTGTAAATTCCAGCGTAAGCCAATAAGTCCACTAATATTTTTGTCATCCAGAATTTTTTTTAAATGTTTTCGATGTTTATTTGTTACTAAGTATTGAGCGTCCTTCCTGTTCGTGTTGCTTCATGCTCATTGCTTTAGTACTCAGAATGACGTGTTTGTTAAGAATTAAAAAATCGCATTGTCCATAGAGGCATTAATCTTTAACTATAGGTGATTCGATGTTACAAAAGGCTACAATTAATATATTCAAATCAGATATAATTGATGACTTTTATATGTCACCAAGTTACTTTCCAAACCTTTTGTCTGCGTTTATATAAATTCGTGCACTCAGAAATCTTTTAATGAATATGTTTTTCTACAATGGTAGAAGGTTTGGTAGTTGGTCTATGCATGCAGAATCTCATCTTATTGTATTGTAAATTTAAAATAATAATTATACTTCGCAATCTTTCGGATCAAGTGTGCTATCCCTAGCGAAAGACTCCTGACTAACACTGAATATATATTTTTATTTTTCAATTAACGTATATAACAGCAGCATATTTTTTTTTTAACTAGTGACTGTTCCGATATCCAATTAAGTCTTTAGATTGTATTAAGCTTTTGACATTAGTCTAAGGGATCGCATACATAGTCGAAATATTGGGTGTTTCCCAATATTTCGCCTTCACAAACTTGTTTGCTCCTTCGTCACAAATGCAATCCTTGTTTCAATTTATTTAGATAACTGTTACCTTGTTTTTATTCCCTTATTCAGATATGATAATCTTTACAACTTTATGTCAATCCTTCGTTATTAGTAGCTATTTCACCTATTTTCCCCATTAAGGTATTTACATTTCCATAAATGATGTGTTATTTCCAGTTGATAAATATATGTGGTACAGCACATTAAGAAACCATGTCATAATCTTTATATATTAGATGTCAAATATATAAAAATTTATAATTGCTATTTGCAGGAGTTTTCCTTCCCATCCAACAAATATTATTCAAAACTATTAAATATTATCAACAACAAAAAAAAAGTGTAAGTTATTTAAAATATAAGCAACGTTTTTATACAATGTAAGACCCTATTTTATTATTTCTGTAGAGCTGCTAAGATAAACATTTCAGTTCGGTGGATAATTTAAGAAAATCGAAGAGTGGCAAAACAAAGCTCGACTAAGGTAAGTTCTAACAATTGTTTTGAAAGAAATTTTTAAGAGAAGTAGTAAAATAACATAAAATAATAAAATGAGATTTTTCTGAGAATTTGACAGATGTTGATTGGCATTAATATAGAAAATGTTGATTTAGAATTCCAACACACAGTTTTAACAACTTTTCGAATACTCTACCGATGTAATAATCGGTATATATCATAGAAATTATGTTCCCAAGGAAACTACCATCTGATTCCTATCAGCAATGAAGTCTGCATACATTAATAAATTTTTAATTAAGTCAAATAAAATTAAATTATTAGTTAAAAATATATAGTATATAGAACACAACTTATCTGAAAAACAATCTTTAAAAATGAGATTCGTCCCAGTCATTTTTTTTATTTCTGATCCATTGATCCATTGAAGTTTAGTATATGTTGTGTTATTTATATATGCAATCATTATATGTTACTGATATCTTATCTTTGAAGAGAGGAGGAAAAATGTTGAGAAAATTTCAGATCCAATTATTTAAATTTTTGTCACATAGCCATTTTGAATATCACGAAATATGCATCACCAATTGTCTTTAAAAGACCTAATGGTATTATTTTCATACGGCAAGTGTACGGAATCGAACGCTATCATATATAAACCGCGAAACCGTGTGTTAATATAAATTATTTTGATATTTTATTTATTTGTTAATGTTTTTAATATTTTCAGGCATTTCTTTCCTCTACTTCATCCGAGACCATTTACAAAATTTAGAGATGTCGATGAATTTGAAAATAGGACTTAATGTGCAGGAACCAATGTCTCTTAATAAATATAAACCTATGGAAAAGTTAAATTTAGATTCAAAAGAAGAATTGTACCTTTTTGTAAAAAATATGACAACATATAACTAATTAAGAAGAACGAATTAATTAGAACGAATTAATTAGAAGGAAAAAAGCAATACTCAGTTTGATGTCTGCGATATGATCAGCAAGAAAGAAAAAAGTAATCCTATTAGAGCACTAAAGGATTGTAAATCTCATTTATATGAGTTCAAAACTCAATACAGAAATTGCGGATCAGGAAAAGACTTCTTTAGCTGTATTAAAAAACGATGCAAGATATCTTACGTATAAGACTTTTATTATACGATATCTGGAGACATTGGAACAAGCGCTTCCTAAAGTCGTAGAAAAATATCCTGGACTTATTCAGTACATTAAAGCCCAAGACGAGTTTCTTAAATTATTCTGCGAACAAGTGCAAATATTTTGAAATGTAAGTTAAATGTCAAGTTTCAAATTTCGTAGTTAAATAATGGTTGTGGTAAGCTTTCATTTTAATTTTAGAAAAACAACTTAAAAAAATATATATCATCGAACTGAATCTTTATAAACACTATTTAATAAGGTGGGATAATTTTTTTTGTTTAAGTTTTATGCACATACTTGGGTTTGTTTATAGGTAAGTGTAGATGCCATTCCATTCAACATCTATTCAAAATGAGAACACTCTTACATAGTTAGAATGTTATCTTTCTATTTGACAAAACTAGTTTGTACTTGGAGAAATAAATTAAATACGAATAAGAACATGATTAGAGTATAGAAAGATTTATCAGAATAGTTCTTTCTCTTCGAGGAAGTCGTCTTTCTTTCTTGGAAATCTTCTTTAGTGACGGCGTGATTTTTACATATCAATTTAAAAGCAAGTAAGACATGCAGGCATCCGTCTTTGATTTCCCGCAGGGAATGGTTAGGCATTGTAGAATTTGATACAGATCTGGAGATCAAACCACGGCATTCCTCCTAAAGAAATGTATTGCTTCAGTTCATTTAGAAACTTAATGTATAACTGAAGAAAATTTTTGTTAAGAAAATTCCTTTTTCATCACTTTTTTTTAGTTACACTTATATTGTAATTAATTCGGAGTACAAGAACATTTCTCTATATAAGGACATATAATATCAAATAAATATACACTGATTATGGTGAAATCAATGAAAAAAACTTTAAATCAATATTTAAAAAAACTTTAAAAACAATTCCTTCAATATTCAAAAGCATCAAATGTGGGACGAATAACAAGTAAGTAAATCCATCTTTATTACTTGTTGATTATTATCTAATCTGGTTAAATATTATGTGAGTGATTGATTGTGTTGTGTTGTACGATTTGTGTGAAAATGGTTTTAGGTTGCTCTCTGCGGGAACCTGATCTCACGTTATAGTTTTAGACACATGGATCAGACACTATGACCCATCACCATTTCAATATTTCACTATGGTAGATGAATACAGCATAAATTAATTATATGATAGTACTTGTACAAATCTTCACTACCATATATATCTAGATGTAAATCCTTTTCCACAGATATGAGAATTTTTCTTAAATATGAGGTATGTTTTAGATGTTGAAGTAATTTGGAATTTTATGAGAATGAAATTTTAATATGGCTGTTATGCGTTTAGTATGTAGACTGCCTTTATGAAAGAGCAATTAGCAACTAAATGGGCACGTTTCTCCTTCCAAATCTTATTAAAACGATCATATAAAGCTGCAAAGTAATCGCTATTGTTTATTTCCTTCAATGAAAGGTGATGATCATAAGATACATTTTACCGCATATATTTAGAATATTTCGGTACGGGTTTACCCAGTGAAGGGGTACGTCTTGATCACAAATTCGTCTGGGTTGTGATACGATGTTATATTTCATTGGATATGGCTTGATAAAAACTTACCTGAGTAACTATTGTCTATGATATTTAATAATATTGTCCTTTACCGAAGAGATCTCTTCACTGTAACTTCTTTTTTTTGTTTGTCATGAATTCAAAGTAGCAAAAATATATTTTAAGAGACAAAATATCTTGTCTAATAGTTGTATTCAATTTTTATTATTTTTATTTTAGAAATTTTTGAAATGGAATGGAATCGCTTAACAAAGAAAAAAAATATTTAAAATATAACAAAATATCATTAAATAAAAAATTTATAAATGGATTAGATTCTATACTGATACTGATTGGATTTAATCAAACGGCACAATCATATACATTTTTTTTGGTTACATAAACGTTTTGAAACTAATAAGAACTAAATGTAGTCTTTTCGGTGAACCCGATCCCGAAACCGTATTGCTTAATAAGGAATAAGGAATAAGGAATACAACAATAATGTTCACTAGTTGAAGACTAAAAACTCTAAATCAAAGCTTATAAAGCAACCGCAACAATTCACGAAAAAATCAGATAAGGATCGAATAAAAAGTGAGTAAATCAATCTACATTTTCGCTGAACTAAAAAAATGTATAATTAATTATTTTATTGGTTACTTATATTGTATGTGTATTGTTGCCTGGCTTCTGAAAAAGTGATTACAGACCTCCTGTTATAACGCGATATCTTCATTTTCGCGGATTTAAGTAACCAGTGTTCCATGATTAGACTATATTTAATGATGACATCTTGAAAAATTTAAATTTTAATTCTTCCCACTGAATTAAAGCTGTACCACATTGGCTAAATGAACTCTGTGTGTGAATATGTTCTTTCTTGATTCCATCGTTCACCTACATTAATAAGAAATATTTATTTCTGTTTATGACTTCTAAGATTGCAGATTGCTAAATCATCACCAACCTATTCTAGTTTAAACGATTAAAGATGAAGTCAATTCTCACAGTTAAATATTAATCAGTATTTGATTCGTTCGTCTGAAGTTAGTCTGTAGTTAATACAATTTTCAATCTGTAGCATTAGTAATTAAGAGCTCGTAATCAATCGCTCATTTTTACTTTTTCATAAGTTTGAAACCTTTGATGTAAAATAACACCCCTGAGTCATTACACGCGCAATAGACCAAAATATAAGGTGTTGTATATAAAAGGTATTCTCATATCTATATAGTCAATTTCACGTCCAATTAAATTGTTAATCATGAGGTTGTAGTGATCAGAATTGAAGTTTGTCTGATCAACAACACTGCCAGATCAAACACCATACAGCGCCACACTGTGACTTTTTGTCGATGGATTTAAATCTAAATACTCCATATCCAAATTTAAGTTTGTCAAGTGAAGAAAATTCGATGCGGATTGTTTTTTCCATTTGTAATACAAGTTTATTCAGTTTTGACATAATAAGCGGTTATTAAAAGATCTATATAATGAAACATGCAATGCAGTTATAAGTTGGATATGAGTTCTGTTTGACAAATAACACTGACACAGTACTATAAAATGAAGAGTATACAGTAGATAATCCTTTGTGTGTCCAAATGATTCTTTATTCTTTTAAGGTCATCCAAAAAATTTGATTTGTTTAACTGTTTTATATGAATCTCTTTATTGTCTAATCGGTGCTCTCCTGTTCCAAATTAGTAACTACTAAACAAATTTTTCAGATTTAAAAACAGAAAATAGTAATTAAACGCTAACTTCGAGTTAAATGATGGATATTAAAGCAATTTGAAGTAAAATTCATGAAGTTTAACAATAGAAGCTACGTACATTTGCACGGCAAGGCATCAACTTGATGGAAGAACATACCTGACAAATTTAGAATATTTTAAACTTTTTTTTTGAATGGATGCCTTAGTTTTAAAAATTTACTTTATTTAAACCAATACCATTGGAGAATGGAATTGGTATATACCAACATTAATAATATTTAGTGTTTGTTTTAATAATGTCATTATAAATATTATCTTTCATTGTTTGTATATTATATTGTCGAATACTTACATCCAAATTGTACTTGTACCGGAACTAAGGGCAATATATTTATGTTGAAGTTAATGTGAAGAAACTCTAATATATATCAAAGTATTTATTGAAATTTTCAATATTCCGAAAAACTCTTTATGAATTTGAATGTCCCACAAAAGTGCCTTACAAATGTTTGAAAGTACGGTTAGTACCAAACTATTTGAAGACATACCATATTTATATAATCAAATAATATTCAAATATATATGGACATGTATTTTCGATTTTTTCTTTTTATTTATGTTAAAATGATATTTAGATAACGACGCCTAAAAATGTATTGAACATCCATGCTTTACCGTTGGAGGAATGTACGAGTGCATTTATTATAACGAGAAAGCCAGTCTTGTTGATAACAATGGGTCAATGGATCATTGTCGAGTTTCTCCAAATATCTTATAAAGGACATAATCGCTTTTAACATTGATTGCAGTTTCGCGGACTTCATCGTCGAGGCTATCACCTGCCAATTACTGAGGTTGGGACTTCTGGAAATGCAAAAGCACATACGAAATAAAAATGTGTTTAATATCAAAAATAATTAAACCGAAAGATGTCAGGGTGTATACGTGAGTATAGGACTTTAATATATATTAAATAGAATTTATTATCATTTAACATTTTTAATAATATTATTAGAAAAGAATTTAATATAATAATTTTAAACAATTTTTGAGAACACAATTCGTAAATTGCATATTTTTCGATTTGTTTGTAGTTATCTATTCTATATTATTAATTTTAAAATATGTATTTCATATTCATTTGACAACTTTTCTAATAATATAACAGCTTCATTGCTTCCCGATCCAACTGATTGGCTCTATTTGCAGGTTTAACTGGAGCTGCGATCTATTTAGTGTAGTTATTTTTGAACTTAGCTTACTCGATTGTCGTTTTTGACTACAGTAGACAAACCATTTGCCTGAAAGGTAATATATAATCTCAATATAACTTATTATGCTGAAGCCATACATTAAAGACATTATGCCACCAAAACGATCTGTAAAGAGAATACTATTTAAATTTATTTTAAAGAAATAGTTTTATTAATGTTCAAAACACAAACATGTGTATATATATCTCAATCCATGACCTATTGTCATAAATAATTCAAATTGGTGCATGAAAAGAAACACATTATGAGAATATGGACAGAGATCAATTTTCAATACTCACCCAGATACATGGTGTTAAAGAAAAATCTACTTGAAAAGGAATAACTCTTCATAAAATGTTTCATCTGTATTACTAATTAAAAGAGTTTGGAACTAATGCTGATTTAAATACGATTTTTTTTAAGTTTTGGCGAAATTTTGGAATATCTCATAAAGCTCAAAATTACACAGATTTTTTTAAATTGACCTCTGAAATGTCAAACCACTTTTTTCGACGAAAATACCATGACAGTGCTCCAGTTTATAAGGTGTATAAGCACCTTATAAATGTGTATTGGTTCATTTTTATAGAAAATATAGACGACAGTTTTTGACTAAATGTTTAATGAAGTAGACTTTTCTATGGCACCCTATATTCCATAAAGTATTATTGATAGCATATTTATATATACGACGAAAGTTAATTGATATGTGCTTATGATACTGAGATTGTTTACATATCAAGTATAAGTTGATCAATTTACTCACTTAATAGGACAACCCAGCTGCTAACAACATTCGTTTCAGTAGCCTGAGCAAAGCGTTTTGCAAAAAACAATTTAATCACGGCTAGAGGTTGATCATTGTTTAAGTCCTTGCTGCAAATATTTATGATAATGGAATTTAAAATTTGATTAAATCTTATGCACATAATAGCACTTACAGTAGACCATGACTGTAGCTTGTTCCGTAACGCGACACAACTCTTCGTAATGGTAGATCGTTGACAGATACATCGAAGTTAACACCTTTGCATGTGGGCAAACAGTGAGCACAACTGTTCGTTGTAGACTTAGATTGACTACTCTGGTTATCCACATAATCAAAATAGTTAAAATTATACCACAGCTTTTTCCACTTGGTTAAACAAGGTACATCCAAAAGGTTACATACGCTCGCATTAATAATGTACGTTGGCCAAGGTGCATTTACACATCCACAGTAGTCTACCATGCTTTTCATACGGCAAATTAATAAGCATTCATCCAGTGAGTAATATGACCTGAAACGTCATAAATATACGTAGATACTATCGGAACGATATAAATGATAAGATTGCTTTTTAAATAGATTGTAATTTGTACTGAATTTCGTGGTGGGTTTGTTACAATGTATTCTCTCTGACCTTACCTCATCCGATTTAATCGATCCCCTTTAGCAACATGACTCTCATTTAATTAACTTTTATTAATAATTTGTAGTGACCGAAAAGCTTCCGGAAATTTTAAATAAAACGCAAAATTCTTAATCTTCATCAATATTTATTTTATCTCCTTCAAAATATGCTCCATTAGAAGCCGATACACAAATGCCAACGTTTCTTCCAATCATCAAAACATTTTTTATAGGCGCTTTCCGGTATGGCTTTGAGTTCCCTCTGCGAATTCTGTTTTACGTCTTCTATGGATTCAAAACGCGTTCCTCTGAGTGGTAATTTGAGGTTGGGAAACAGGAAAAAGTCACACGGTGCAAGATCAGGTGAATACGGTGGCTGTTCGATGGTATTTATTGAATGTTTGGCCTTAAAATCGTTGATAATGTTGAACAAATTGAGGTGAATCGGAACAAGCCGGGCGTTGACACGTCGCATACACAAATTGTCCACCAAAATCAAACGAGCCATCTCACGACCGATGCCTAGCTCTCGTGCTATCTCTCTAACACTCACATGAGGATTTTTGAACACGATTTCCTTTGCCTTTTCAATGTTTTCGTCGGTGGTAGAGGTCGAAGGTCGTCCAGAACGCGGCATGTCTTCGACGGTCGTACGACAGTCCTGAAAGGCTTTGTACCACTCATAAACTTGAGTTTTCGATAAAACTGATTCCCCATAAGCCTTTTGTAGCATTCGCAACGATTCTGCACACGAAATTTCGTTCGAAAAACAAAATTTGATGCAAACTCTTTGTTCAATATTTTTTTCCATTGTTTTTTTCGCAACGCACTACTGAGGTGAACTGGTTTCAACAGCTGCCGTAAACGAACTGTCCGACACGATCAGCGCTCATTTTTGGATCAGAATAAGGACAGTGCTGCCAAACTACATAAACTTAAAATATCGAAAAATATACAGCGCGCGAATTTTAAATGAGAACCTCCGAAAACTTTTCGGTCACAATGTATATCTATATTTTACATAGTCTTGGTTTTTCATCGGAAGTTAGTTATTCATCTAAATGATTCTGCCATTCAAGCAGCAGGGTTGGATATTTGCTCCGTAGTTTACTCTTTAGTATTCGTAGTCTACTTTTTCTTTCTGTGAAATTTCTGTCTACACTACCCAGCTAGTACATATCAAGTCACATACATTACAATATCCACCTTAAATCACAAAGAAACAAACCAATAAATTGACCTAAATGTATTTTTCCCGTCAGATAGGTCATATAGGGAGACCTTAGATAAATTCTGTAGTAAGCTTTTAGGTCAGACAAAAATTGAAAACTTGTTAATCTTCTGCTCTATTACCACATTTACCATAGATTCTTATTTTCTTAAATGTCAATCTTAACTCCAATATTTAAAACATTTAACTTCTTAAATATATATATACGGACTTCTGAAACTATGTATTAAATAACATTTTATATTATTTTTTAGAATTAAAATGAATTCCTACTGATACATAAGGACCAATACAAAAGTTTTTTAAAAAAAAAAAATACTTGGGGGTCCATTTTGTTTTACATAAATGGACTTCGGACATCCGAAGTATGGATCAAACAGTTTCAATGAATGAGAGTGATAAAAACGAATCAATGTTTATAGAGGCAATCATGTTAATTACTGTAATAGGCGATGCAATAAACAGATTAAGCTAATAGAGCTTTGAAATCAGACTTAGATACTGATGCCTTATGACTTAAGGAATGTGATCATCAGACTCAAGGCGGTTCAATTCAAACACGAAACAATGTTTAAGTATCATCCTTTACGAAATGTTTTCTATTCAATTACTATTAAAACACCACTAACTTTTCCTAAACAAGATGGAATCGTTGGGATTGTCAATCCATTCTGATCGAAAAATTTAAAGTGAATCTGACATTAATGAACAAATCAAGCAAATCTAATGTCAAAGAAAATGCCAAAGAAAATGTAATCCAATATTTGGTAAAGCAGTTTGAAAATTTAAATCAAAATTCCAAATTAGTACAAAGTTAATAAATAATAGAAACTACAAAAACTGTGATGTTACTTGTACCCCATCATTAGCATTATCATTATTTAATCATTATCTTATTTGCTTATTGCTTATTTTTATATCGTATGTATCGTATATCGTATATTTTACTGGACTTCGGAGAGCACCCTTTGATGCATCCATTTAACATATATCTCTTAAGACTTGTGAAGATATATGAGTGCAATTCATTTCCGATATAAAAAGACAATACCATTTTACTGTGAATTAGTGCTAAAGAACTGCATTTTTTTATTTATTTAGGAACACATATTACACGTTAGCAGTTTTTAAGTCAATTCTTTATAGAAATCCATATTTTTTATTTTTTTTAATGTATGAACTAGCTTTTCAATAAAAAGAGTATTTAATTTGAATTGTCTTCGTACGATTTTTTTTGCAATTTTGACAACTATTAATTAATTTGGTTTAATCTTCTTTATAGAGTCTGTAAAAGTATGTACTACAAAAATGACTATTTCATCAGAAAATAATAGTGAGACTTACAGTGGATACAGATCGATTGTTTATAGTAAATATACAATAAAATAGGATTCATAATACTATACTATATTGAGGTACTCCCGTTAAGCTTTCATGATATTTGGATTATTAATCTCAATGTTTGTTTAGGAGTTTTTGAGATAAAACTTGATATGCCAAAAGCAGTGATGTTCTTGCGAAAGTCAAGGAACGATGGAATCCAATGTTTGTTTGTTTAAATGCGCAGATTGGATATATTTAACAAATTTCTGCATAAACTAGTTTTCTGTTTTCTGTTATTGGCAAGAATCTTTTAATAATTGTTTTTGAATTAACTTCAAATTTCTTTTTATTTTTTCCATTATTCCGTTGACGTAATGGTTTAACTGAGTGCCAAAGAGCTTGTTCACGTATGCAATATTTGGTGTTAAGATGCTATGTCATACAGAGGGTCATATAATAAAAAATACCGTTTAAGCGAACGTTTAAGCGAAAATATCCACCAAAATCGGAAAGCATAAAGAAGAAGCTGTCAATTTTGCACGGCGATAATATACCTTTGTAGAGAACTGCAGTTATAATCGAATATGATGCTTAAAACTCAAGAAATACAGTCGATAAAAAACAGTACTTATCAGTTTTGGCTCTGTAAATCTTTTTTCAAAACTAAAATCACCTCTCCCTGGAAAACGTTTTAAAGCAAAAACTCAGGCGATCTAATATATATTTTTCACATAGACATTTTTTTCCAAATTACTTTCCTTCTCAATCCATGTGAAGATTCTTAAAGATTCTTTTTAAAACCAAACTATAGGAAGCAACTGTTTTCAAAAATATTTGAAAAACTCGTTATTAGTCTAAAGTTTATAGTCTCTATCTACAGATATTAGAGTACAAAGTTTCCTGATTTTTCAAATTTTGTGATAGCAATTCAATATTTAGTTTATTCAATATTTAGTTTAGTTTATTGAATTTATTATAAATATCTAAAATATCACAAGTTAAATGTATTTATACTTACTGGTTTAATACTTTTTCTCCTTCGTCAGGAAAGTAACAGTTACGTTTCTGTGGAGAAATTTTTCTTATAGAATTGCTGGATTCTAAAAATATAGGTTGAATTGGAATCTCAACAATTGAGTTATGGTTTACAAAAATTTCACCATTTTTTTTCGTTTGAATAAAATACTCTTTAGCTGGAAATATATAAAACTATCAAAAATATGTAATAGAATAATTAATTATTAATTTTAATATATAATTAAAAATATTTAATATAATTATTCACCTGAAAAACACTCATTGGAAATTCCGTATATGTAATATTTGAGTCCAGATCGCTTTGTAATACAAATTGGACACTATTAAGTACAGAATTTGTTTCAAATTTTATATTTTTATAGAATTCATCTCTATTGTGGGTGCTAAAAATAAAATAATTTACGAATGTTGTAGATTGCACACACACTATATTTTATTAAATTCTAAACCTAGAGATTTGAACTTATCGTACGCATTTTTTAAAATAACTGCTTAATTTTTGATTTGATGCTACTATCTTAATACTATTTGCTCCTTCTGAACAATCCCTGCAGACCGTCGCTATAATTTGGATACGTCTTTGTTGGAATATAGATCAAGTATTTCAAGTATCTGATATGGTTTGATGCTTTAGTGCTTATTGCAATTGCTATTCCTTGAGAATTCCTCCTGTTTTGGAGTTGAGTATTTTCATAGAATGAAAATTATAGGAAGTATAATCCTGAGAAATATTCTAAAAGTATTCTAATTATATTCAAATTATTATTCAGTTTCAAATTTTTAATTATAAACCTAAGTTTTTGAAAATACTCATGTTTAGTGTTTCAGCATCTCATTTCCTTCATTTTCCTTATCGTATTTTTCTCCACTTTCTCTAATATTTTTTACTTCAGTTTTCATCTGCACTTTTGAGACTTAAGTTTTTAAGAATTTCCATTTAATTTGCTCTGGTATAGCAATATCTAACTTTTCAGCATTTGTATATGAAACCTTTTTAAACAATGAAGTTCAATAAAAATTATTTTCAATATATTAAAATTAAAATTGAGTCTCAATTTAATAGGGGAGCGTCATTATCCTAACTTACAATATATCAAAATCAGGAAACTTTAAAATTTATATGGGTCATTCTTTTACAAACCGCACGGATTTTGGTAAAAATAACCTCATGATCTCCGATTTAGCTGAAAATTTTTTTATGAGCTTTTTTTGAGAGCTTTTTTATATAAGCTTTTTATGAGAATTGGCATTTTAGACTCATTTTTAAATGGCTATATATCAAGCTCTATAAATGGTAGGAATAATATTTCATTTTTACAGAAACAAGTGGCATACATACACGAAAAGCTAAAATTAATGATGAATGGAGTACATATAAAATCGAGATATAGCCATTTATATATGCATCTACAATGCCAATTCTCAAAACCTCATGGATCCATATCTCTTATACGAGAGAGATGCGGTTGTTCTTATTTTATGAAGAGAGCTGATAAAAAAATTGAAGATCATGAGGTCAAAAAGGTGTCCGATTTGTAAAAGAATGATCCATATATCTTTGTATGTAAAAAAAAATTTTGTTTATTATTGGATATGTTTACAGAAATTTTTATATAAGTTACTGTTTACTACTTGGGATAATTTATTATTTGATTAGACATTTTATACTGATTTTATACTGAAACCCTTATATTACACTGTTCAAATTATTATCGAAGAACGGTGCATATATGATGGATTATAGGTTTGGTCAGTGTAACGAGTTCTAAGGTAAAAGTCTTTATCAATTTATATAAAACTTTGATTCCTACTCACCTATAACCGTCTCTCATATAATTAAACATACAACATGGACTAGATGGCGTTAAGCTTTTTTGAAATAGATTATCAGTATCTGTTGGTGTTCCGAAAATCAAACTTCTTGGGACTAAATCTTTACAATTAGGTGCTAAATCGAGTAGTATGTCTCGTGAAGGATATGTTGTCGAGTTATACATAAATGTTAAGATGTTGTGTAATTTTTCCAGATGTCCATCCTCATCCAAATACTCATCAAATGGATGATTATAGAAAGCACCGAGTACTCTTAACTGTTCAATCATATCATCAATATTTGTTGCTAATAAGTCGGGTTGAAAAGCTTGTTGAGCGAAGAAACTATTAAAATAATAAAAATGATTGAAATGGTAAAGTATTAAAAAAAAATGTATAAAACTATTAAAGTATTTAAAAGATACATTGAGATTCTTATATTAAGTATTTAACAATTGGTGTGGTGTAACTATTTTATACTTTTCTCACTAAGCAAATTAATACTACTGCTGTAACGACACTTTTTCGTCGCTCTGTTTGCCGGGGTAATACTCAGGGGTTGGTCCTGGGTCGTTACAATAAATTTTTAAAGGATAAAGACAGTGTTTGATTTCAAGATTTATTTATTATTAAGTTGTCTTAAAACTAACAATGTTTATTCATTTATATTTGATATTTATAAAATTGTTATACCTGTTGTAGAAGAAAAGTTTACGGGTTATAGACGTTATTATCTATAGACGTGTTCACGCCTATATATATATATGGCTTAGTAAGTAGGCAAGGATCTAAAACGTGTTCACGCTTTATATTAGGTTTTAATAGCAGGATATGAACGTGTTCACGCTTATATTTGCTACTGGAGAGGATATAAACGTGTTCACGCTTATGTACGGTGGCTGTAGGAGGGATAAAACGTGTTCACGCTTTATATTAGGTTTTAATAGCAGGATATGAACGTGTTCACGCTTATATTTGCTACTGGGAAAGGATATAAACGTGTTCACGCTTATATACGGTGGCTGTAGGAGGGATATACAAATCAAAGGAAAATTTGTTATGTAAGTCTCTGTTTATACTTAGCTCTGCGACCGACTTTGTATGTTGTGTTTGACTGTCCAAGTCCCTGGTACGTTCTCTTGTCTTCGAAAGTTGATAACGAGCCTCTGTCTGCTTCTGAACACTTTGCGTGTTGATCACTGACTGCTTTCTTCTAGGTAAATGCGTCTTCTTATATACGCATCAGACCAAACTTTAACGTAGCGCAAAGCTTAGTTTACAGCTGGCTTGGATTTTTGACGTCGTTGCTGTTTTGCGCTTTCGCCGTAGTTAATATGCGCGCGCATCAATTTTTACACAAAGCTCTTTGCACAAAAGCTTTCTTTGACGTTTCTTCTGTTGTGCATTTGTTTTGTTTTGAAACGTGTTTAGCTTAGTGTCGGTAGTGGCAGTTTTAAATATTTATATTTATTTATTAAAAATAAGATAAATATATAAAATACAAACAAAAAAGAGTATAAGTTTAGATAATAAATAAATAAGGTAGGTACAATATTTATTTATTTGAATATATTTTGCATTCTTTTAAATTTTCAATGCAATCGTAGGTTTAATTCATTGTGATGCAGTTGCGTACATGCGGGGGTGGCTTTTAGTAAGTTATTTAATTTTAATATATTATATAAAAATTAACCAATTTTTATTTCAGGTATTAGCTGCACACTAGTTATATGTAGGTTGGAAATTATTACAAAATTTCCATCCTTACATTTCCCTCCTTCTCCGAGGAAAATTAATTTGCCACTATCTGCCTGCATGATTTCTGTGCCGTTTCTTTGGGCTCTTGAATATTTTGAAAAATTTATCTTGGTGTATACTAACAAGATCATAGTCCTTCTGCTGAAGTACATCTAAGTTATTCATCGGCTTCTGCAGTTTTTGGGTGCTGAATGGTTTTGGAATTTCTAGACTTAGTTCCTGTAATTGTATCAGAGGATTGTCTATCTTATCCTTCGGACGTGTGGAATCATTTTTTCCTTCTTCTGGCTGTTGCTTTCGTTGACTATCGTGGTTAATTGAAACTTGTTGCAATGATTGTGTCGGACTTGGGGTTCCTTGAGTCAATCGAACTCGTCTGGTATGATCTTTGATTACTGTAACCTTTTGTTGACCTTGTTGTGTTTCAATATCTTGAACTTGATGTTGTTCTACGTATCCTTGTGTATCTGGAATTTTAACTTGTGTTATATGGCGATTCCCCGTTGGATTGATTCTTTTTGGTTGATTAACTACCTGTGAATTTTTCTTGCTAGGACTTGGATCTTTGTGCCGTTGAATCTTTTGTTTTTGCGCTTTGATTACGCTTGGTTCTTTCTGTCGTTGTACTTTCTGTGTTTGAACTTGTAATATTTGATGATTTGGGGTGACTTGCTGTTGTTTAGATACTTCGAGATTTCCTTTGATAAATATAGGTTTTAACTGGTTTTGTAGTCCTTGTATTTCAACTGATACTATTTCACGGTTTGGTGTGACTCGCTGTTGTATAGATACTTTGGGATTTTGCTTGTTGGGTCTTGAATCTTGCTGTGGTTTGCACGCTTGGATTTGGAGCATACGTTTAAATTCTGTGGTTTGGTCCTGATTAAACGCTTTTAAGTTTTCTTTGAACGACGTGACACGTTGCGGTGTTTGGTGTACTGATACTTGCTTCGTTTGACTTTGAAATATTTCCTGATCTGGTGTAACTCGTGGTGGCTTAAATACTTCGGGATTCTTCTTTGTAAGTTTTGGGTTTACTTGTCGTAGTGTTTCTTGCATCTGTGAATTTCCTCTGATGGGCCTAATATTTTGTGATTCTTGCTTTGGTTCGCATGGTTGGACTTGCAGCATTTGTTGAACTTCTGTGACTTGGTTTCGATTGAATGGTTTTAGATTTCCTCTAACTGGCATGACATGTTGGATATTCTGCTGAGTTGATACTTGGTACATTTGATTTTGAAATACATATATCTTGATCTTGTGTGATTCGTGCTGTTACTTGCTTAGCTGGCGGCTGGTTGCGGTGCTGATTACTTCTCTGCTGGTTGAGAATAGGTGACTCGGAATTTGAACTGGGAATAAGTTTATCTTGTATCGGCATAGTAGGTACGCGTCTCACTGTATTTTCCCATAACATCGTTTGTGGATATTCAACTTCTATGCGACCAACTATCACTTCCTGTCGAACACCGCGTCGACTCATTTTATCCTGTTCTGCGCGAAGTTCTTCGAAGTCATCAGCTAATATTGTTAATTCTGTTAAGCTCGAAAAGTCTCGACGTTTGATGTACATTTGGTACTCTGTGCGCATGTTTCGGTATATTCGCTCCAATTGCGAATCTTGGTTCATGTCTGTGTGTCGCATAAGATATTTGATTTCCAGTACATAATCTTTAAAACTTTCTTGTTCCTTCTGAACTCGTGCTCGCACCTCGTCTTCTAATCTGTCGAAATACCTATGTGGAAGGAAAAATTTTAGAAAGTCCATCTTGAAGCTTGACCAGAGGTTCCAATGCTTATTGTTGTTGCGGTACCACATCAATGCTTTGTCTTCAAGCAGTATAGGCATCATTCTGGGAACTAAATTCACGTTGATGTCGTCAAGGTCTGCTACCTCTTCTATGCTTTCCACAAAATCTATTGGATCTATTCCTCCATTGTACTTTACAGACCATTTTCGTATCCGCTCCACGGTTTGTGCATACGATAAGTCCATGATGTGCTGCTTATGCGAACGTCTTGTATGTTTCTCTGTTGAACTGGCTTGAACGGATGAAAGTATTTAGATTTTATCTTTTGATCATGTTAGCTTGTGCC